ATATATATATATATATATATACACACACCTAAATATTTTTCCTTTGTTTTGTTTACTGCTAGATGTTTTTATTTTCTCCTTGGGAACTAGAGTACCACAAGATCTATCTTTCCTGTATTTATTCTCTCTCCTGTTATTTGTTCAGAAATATTAAGGTAACATTCTTTACATATTTATTAAGGAATGGGAAAATCGCTTAATTCATGTTCAGGAGGTTATTGATGAATGGCTGAAAGTGCAAGCACAGTGGCTTTATTTGGAACCCATTTTTTCTTCTGAGGACATTATGCAACAGATGCCAGAAGAAGGGCGGCTCTTTCAGACTGTGGATAGACATTGGAGAGATATTATGAAGCACTGTGTTAAAGACACAAAGGTATGGAAACCATACAGTTCTAAAACAGTAGCTTCTCTCTCTCTCTCTTCCTGCCCCCCACCTTGGTCAAGGCTTTTGTCTTCAGAGTATATACAATGAGCTACTATATCAATTGTCTAGGCTTTCCAGGAGCAAAGCCATGTTGTACATAATTTGAATGCCTTCTACAGTTTGAAGTATCTTATAAATAACTTAGAGTTTGCATATGTTTGTTGCTACAGGTTCTTGTTGCTACTTCCTTGGTGGGATTATTGGAGAAGCTTCAGAACTGTAATGAGTTTCTTGACAAAATCATGAAAGGGCTTAATGCTTATCTTGAGAAAAAACGTCTCTTTTTTCCTCGGTATGATGAGTTTTGGTTATTTAAAGAACAACAATTCTGAATGTTTAGTTTGTTGTAGATAAGGTCAGCTTGACAGTGCAATTGGCTTTTTACTTCTTTTTTCTGAATTTTTTCTTTAGCTTCTTTTTCTTGTCTAATGATGAAATGCTAGAGATCCTGTCAGAGACCAAGGATCCTCTGAGAGTTCAGCCTCACTTGAAGAAGTGTTTTGAAGGCATTGATAAGCTACACTTCCTTCCCAATTTGGATATTAAAGCGATGTATAGTTCTGAAGGCGAGTTTGTAGAACTGATTTCAGCCATTTCTACTTCTGAAGCTCGAGGGGCAGTGGAGAAGTGGTTACTTCAAGTAGAAGATATTATGCTGAAGAGTATACGTGATGTTATTGCTAGATCAAGAGTGGTATGCATAATAATTTAATGGCATAAACAGACCTTTCTTTATTTTAAGACTGTCTCTTGGTTTCCTGAAAGTCTTCCTGAACACAAGAACTGATGAAGTTTTGAGACCGGGATCAAGTTAACAAGACTGGTATTTGTAGGCTGGTGAGATAAGTCAGAGTTTAGTTTGAGTAAGAATCAAGTTGTTTGCCCATAACAATGGGTATAAATTATTTTAAAAGCTTGGCAGCAATACTAAGTTAATGATTCAGGGTGATATTTTTTTTTTTATTTACAAATTAGAAATACAACACTTATGTTTGCTCCTTCCTAAAAGAAAATTATGATCCAGAAAATGGTTCTTTGTATGAAGTTAGCAAGTTGTGAGTATTTACATAGTATGGAAAGAGAATTGTGAGAATCTTTAAAATTATTTGATAAAAATTGCAAATTTAAGGTGAAAAGAGCATTTTAAAGTTTGTAAATATAGGAAAATAATAAAGACGGCAAAAATAGGAAAATAATGGGTTTTAGCAAAGAGTTTTAATAGGATCGCATTACATGCTTCTGTATTACATGATGATACGTATTTACTGAAACTGTATTTGTATACTCTGTTGAACTCTTTCAGGCATATCTAGAGACAGAGAGAAAAAGATGGGTTTTAGAGTGGCCTGGACAAGTAGTATTGTGTGTGTCTCAGATGTTCTGGACAAGTGAGGTACATGAAGCTCTTTGCAGAGGACCAAAGGTACTTTGTAATCTTGTTTAAAAATTTTATTAATTTTTTATTTAGGCTAATGTATTTCACATAAATATTTTTGTATAATCAAAATAAAATTTGAAAAAGGATCAGCATATGCAACATAAACACATAACTATGAGAGAAGTTGATGGAAAAACATGGCAGTGTAAGTGATTGGCTTAGTAAACAATCTCCATTAAGATATGTAGTCAACATAAAAATGTCTGAGACACTTGAAACTGTCCTATAATCAGTTTCATAATGATCTTGTTTCTCCTAGGGTTTAAAGGATTATTATAATACACTTCAGCTTCAACTTAATGATACTGTAGAGCTGGTAAGAGGAAAACTATCAAAGCAAACAAGGACTACGCTAGGTGCCTTAGTTACTATCGATGTTCATGCTAGAGATGTCCTCATGGAAATGTCTGAAAGTGGTAATTATCTTTTAAAACATTTTTCTTCAGATATGTGTCTTAATACATGGTTAAGCAAAGCCAGTTAACCAATCTGATTTTCTGGATAAAAACACAACAGCATTAAGAAATGTATATGAGTAATTGGATGTAAGCATCAAGAGTAATAATTTCAAAACTGTTTTAAATTTAAACCTAATAGAAAATCCATTTCCCTAAAAAGTCCTTTATGATTGTTTTCAATTCTGTGTTTATCAGGTGTGCAGAGTGAAACAGACTTTCAGTGGCTTGCGCAGCTACGATATTATTGGGAATCTGAGAATGTTCGTGTCTGCGTAATTAATAACAACGTAAAATATGCCTACGAATACCTTGGAAACTCACCACGCCTTGTCATTACTCCTCTTACAGACAGGTGTTACCGCACCTTGGTATGATCTTCCACCACTGCTGCTAAATACTGTATTTACAGTAGTATGGTATTTCTTACATTGCTCATTACAGCAATACTTTTAGGGCTTGCAGTTGCTGTCAGACTGTGGTATTTCTGTTAAAAAAAGAATGGTGACCAAGTACTTGCACCAAATTTAATTTGAAAAATGTATCTAAGCAAGAAATGAAAGAGTGAATCCAGTGAAGTGGGAGAAATTTATCGCGGTCATTGTAATAATAAAACTAAACTCTCTGAGCAAGTCAAAAACTCAATTCTATTGTCGATGTTCCCAACCTGGAAGCAAACTTCAGATTATGTTTGAATTAGTATAAAGGTCGGAAAAATATGACTATATGAACCTAGTGCAATTTAATAATTCAGTATAATTTCAAATGAATGAAGTACTAATAATTTCCTTGAACCATTTCTGTTTCTTAGATTGGAGCCTTTTGTTTAAATCTTGGTGGTTCCCCAGAGGGTCCAGCAGGGACAGGTAAAACAGAAACTGTCAAAGACTTGGCTAAAGCTCTTGCTGTTCAGTGTGTTGTCTTCAACTGCTCGGATGGCCTTGATTATCTGGCAATGGGAAAGGTAAAAAGGAAATAGTTGTATTTTATTTTTTAGGATAAAAATTGTAGAGTCCCTACTTTGCAGAGACACTTGAATACATGTGGCACCTGTGGTCTGCTCCACATGGATGCTATATTCTGGTCTCTACTTATATTTCATTTTGTACGCTTTATGAAATCCTGTGAAGTTGATAATTAAAACATGAAAAAAACAAGAGTTCACAGGAACCAAGAAAAGACTTTGTTCTTCAGTACATCACTGATCCTTGCTCTAAACAGGCTTAGATATTAGTATCATTGAATCTTCCGTTTAATTAAACTTACAATATGATAGTCTTGGTTTCATTTGAATTTTCTAAAATTCTGTTAGCGATGTTATTGCTGTCTCTCTTCATTTGTAGTTTTTCAAGGGTTTGGCTTCATCAGGTGCGTGGGCGTGTTTTGATGAATTCAATCGCATTGAGCTGGAAGTACTGTCTGTTGTGGCACAGCAGATCCTTTGCATCCAGAGAGCCATACAGATTAAGCTGGAAACGTTTATTTTTGAAGGAACTGAACTGAAGCTTAACGCCAACTGTTTTGTAGCTATTACTATGAATCCAGGTTATGCAGGGCGTTCTGAACTTCCAGATAATCTGAAGGTAAAATAATAAAATACATGCTGCTTCTTAAGAATGAATTTTTAGGAAAAACAGAGAGACATGTATGTTGCTGATATTAAGTCAGACTGTATCACCTGCAATACAAACAGATACTTGTTATATGATTTACACATAGTAAGCCTCTTGTTTTTCTTTTTTTTTTCTCTAAGTAGTTTGATCTGTTTGAAGGAGTTTGAAATACTTTTTGTTTTATCTATTAGTGGTTTTCATTATTATTTTCCTAGTCCAAAGACTGTAATGCTATAGCGAGTGAACTGGCAGGTGTCAAGCCATGAGTATATTGTAAGATCTGGATCTTAACTTTTTTAAGATGGAGGTGTATGCTGGAAAAATGCTTTAAGAAAGCACTTTTACATTGCAATTATTATAGTCTTATTCAAAAGAGGTGTTAGCTAACTACACTTGAAACATGTAATGGGTTTGCTTAGATTAACAGATTAAGTAAAATCTCTGAGGTGATCGTTTTGACTGGATTAGCTGTTTCATTGATGAGTCTTGGCTTTAGCAAAATGATCTGTAGCCTTTTGTAACAGCATCAGTTCTTTCAGGCTTAACTTGGCACTGAGCTACTGGGCCAGACCAAGTCGCCTTGGTGGGAACTATGCTAGGAATGCTAAATTTAAAGCAGAGTTAATGAAGCATGAAGGTTATACCAACTGCAGATTACTTTTCTCTCACCTGCTATGTGCAACACCTTCCTTTGCTTAACTGCTCTGCTGGATGTGTCAGTGGAAGGGGCAAGCTGAATTCCTGAGACTGTGATGAGGAAAGAGAGCTGGCCAAAGCGTCCTTTCTGCACCAGATTGTACATTGAGATGCATCTTGATAGCAGCTGATTTACGTAAGCTTTGCAGTGAGTTGTAAGCTTGAGACACTGATAATTCTTCTAATTCGTCAGCTCCCAAATGTTCTGCAGTTCCCTGCTTTCCACTGTAACTGCTTTAAATGATCCACGGCTTACCTAATTGTACTAAGCAGTACTTAAACTGTTTTCAGTTAGAAATACTGTGTGACAGGATGAATACTCATCCATCACCTGTAAACGTTCTGAATTACTTTCCATTCCTCAATTAATTATTTAAAGATATTTCTTTGGGTATATATTTCAGGTTCTATTTCGCCAAGTAGCCATGATGGTTCCTAACTATGCCTTGATAGCAGAAATTTCACTCTATTCATACGGATTTTCGAATGCTAAGTCACTGTCAGTGAAGATAGTAATGACCTACAGGCTTTGTTCAGAACAGCTTTCCTCTCAGTATCACTATGACTATGGTATGCGAGCAGTTAAAGCTGTGTTGGTGGCTGCTGGGAATCTAAAACTGAAATATCCCGCAGAAAATGAAGATACATTGGTGAGTTCCTGAGAGAATAATTATTAAGGAAATTTACAGATGCATACAGTTCTGCATTCTGAAGGCAGTGCCACCATGTCGTGTCGTATCACTGATCCATGTCTCTTAGTTTTTGAAATGGAGATAATAAAGTATGTGCCGCATTTTCCAGTGCTATGCTGATAGTTGCAAAATTGTGCTTAACTGCTTTTCAAAGGCACCATTTAATTAATTAATCTTTATTGCGCATTAGATTGCTCTAATTCCAAACAGTTTATTCTGTAATAATAATTATAGTAAGACCTGTAAAATGTATGTTTGTTTCCTCTAGCTTCTTAGAGCAATTAAGGATGTAAATGAGCCCAAATTTTTGTCCCATGATATACCTCTTTTCATGGGTATAACTAGCGATTTATTTCCTGGAATCAAGCTTCCTGATGCAGACTACAGTGTAAGTACACTTGATATTTTTCCTCGGTCGTAATCATTCTGGTTTGTGGTCTTTTTTTTTCTTAACCAGGTGTATTTAATAGAGTAATTTGAGTTATTGCAAGAAAAGGAAAATTGCTGAATGTTTGCAATGAAACCAAAGAAAGTTGTTGGAAGTCTTCTGCGTATGATGCACATCTGACTTCCCTTACATCCAAAGGGTTGTGTAAGGCGACCTGCAGATTTGCCAAATTTTAGGGTCTTTTGCTGATGTCTTTTCTAACTTTTTGACATAATTAAGTGAAATTAAGCTTTGTGTTCAGATTTTCTTTATGTTTTACACATAGCTCCTTTGTAGGAGGATGGTTGGGAAGAAGATGAGCGTGTTGGGAAAGACAAAATGGATTAACTTTAAAAAAATCTTTCCTGTTAAAAGCATGTTGTTCCAAAGTGCACTGTTGGTTTACTGATAGTGATATACCTTCTCCTCAAGATAAAAATTGTAATTAACTCTTGTTCTAGCTTATGAAGTATGGAAGTGGTGGGGTTTTTTTCCAGGGATGCTTGCTGTATTGTGATTAAGAGTCAATTATTAATTAATTAGAACCCTTAGTGGTGAGCATAAGCTGTTCTGCTGTAGTCCAAGAGAGTAATTCAGATTATAGCAATGATAAGATTATGATCTGTTTTGGTTTTAGGATTTTCTGCAATGTGCCAGGGAATGTTGCATTCGACATAATGTCCAACCTGTAAAACCTTTTATAGAGAAAATAATACAGACATATGAAATGATGATTGTTCGACATGGGTAAGATTCTCATTACCATTTCACAAGCAGTATTGGTTATAATTTTGTCTTATACTGTAGTGGTTATCTATATCCAGTATAGAAGGTCTTAAGAATGCCAAAGTGTTTCTGCTGGAACAGTTGGACTCCCATATTTCCTTTACATGTCCCAAAACTCCTGTCAGTGTGTGTGTCTAGGGAATTGCACTGCTCTTCATATGAGAAGTAGACTCACCTGTATCGTGATTTTAGGTGCAGATATCAGTATGGTAAAGACAATGGTATAGACAAAGACTTGTCTACATTAAAATACTAGTTAGACGATTTTTGTGTGTGTGTGTGTATGTGTAGTATATGTTCCTCCTGTTTGTGTTCTTCCAGAACTTTGTTATAAATTCTCTCTAGACTGAAAAGAAGATAGAAAGTAGTCTTTGATGCAGCAAAATAAATGCACTAGTGTGGTGGTAAATCAATGGTTTAGAGGACAATTGCACACAGTGGCTGTGCAATCAGATTCGCACATGCAAATAAACTTTTTCCTAAATGATGTGTTGTATATATGAACCAGATTAACTTGCTTTACTTTTTGAAAATTAGGTGAAAATTAGCTTTAAGGGTGTGAATGATGCTGTTGGCCTTCATGTGGTCTATAAAAGTCTAAATTGCAAGACAAATTTAATAATAACTGGGGGTTGTTGTTTGTTTGTTTGTTTGTTTTTTCCCATTCAACAGCTTTATGCTGGTAGGGGAATCTTTTTCTGGGAAGACCAAAATTCTATATGTGCTGGCAGATACACTGTCTCTTATGAAAGATCGTGGTTATGGTGAAGAAGAAAAAGTAATTGTTAGAACTGTGAATCCAAAATCAATCACTTTGGGTCAGCTTTTTGGGCACTTTGATGTGGTATCCCATGAGGTAATGTATGTTTTAAAAACAGTCTATTGTATTTGCCTACTTTTATCTGGTTTTTTCCTCTCTCATCTGTTGTGGCTCTCATGGGGTTTGCATGAGTGCACTTGTGAAAGTATGTTCTAACTTCAGGTTAATTCATGGTGTCATTTGCAGTTGTTCTCAGGGGACAGGAGAAGCAGTTTGCAAGGCTGGTGCTTCTGTTTTCCAAGTCCCAATTCCAGACAGCATTTCTTCATCTGTTTCCTGGACTCCAGACAGTGCTTACAGGGCTGTGCTATAAATCACATTACTGGCTTGGTTTAAAGAAAAAAGATGCAAACATAGCAGTATGCGTTCAAGACTAGGAGCTAATAATTCTGTCTGGTTTTTCTGCTTTGTAGTATTTCTAGTGTGCTTTTTTTGTTTTATTTCTTTATTTTCCTGTCTAAGAACTCTATTACTCTGTATACTAAACTGGTGAATTAATAATTTTATGATTTTAGATAAGAATGAGAACAAAATTGTAAGTTTTATTTTAAATAATACTTTTATGACTTATTTTAAATTAGCATATTAAAAAAGCGCAGTAACAAGTGCCTTTGAAGTTAGGTAGGTTTAAATATGCAAAAAGCCAAAGCAATACTGTTTTGAGGGCCATTGTCCTAATATAATTGCATCCATGCTAGGAAATCATAGGAAACTTAACGGTATTTTTTTTCTCTGTCTATTGCTAAGTAGCGTAATCGGAGTAATGCAAAAACTTTCTAGAAAAAAATCAGGAACTCATGGGTCCCCTAAGTGGGAAACTTAAGTTTGGAAATTAAGAAATATGAAGAACTGAATATGAAATAGTGAAACTTAGGATGACTCTAGGGAGTACCAGATCCAAGACAGAGGAGCAGCACTTCTAAGTTTTTGTAAATTGACTTGATGGTCTTCTGTTAGCTACAGTTTTATTTTTTAATGAAAAAAACCACACGGGTTTAAAATTCGCTGATGTTGCATGACTGTCAGTGAAACTGAAAAGTTATGAGGAAAAGAGTAATTAAAAGAGAAGAATAATGAAAAGGAAGTGGAAGATTTTGCTATTGCTTGCAGATTAAATTGGACTATGTATACTCTGCCTTACTTTTAATTCCTGTGTTCTCGTCCTCTAGTGGACAGATGGTATAGTTGCCAATACTTTCAGAGAATTTGCATTATCTGAGACTCCTGAACGCAAATGGGTTATCTTTGATGGCCCAATTGATACTCTGTGGATAGAAAGCATGAACACAGTTCTGGATGACAACAGAAAGGTAACACTGGGTAAAAATAAATGCCAAAATAAAATAATGTGACATTTGGAAAATATTATTCTATGTTTAAAACCACAAAGCAGTTCCTGGCATTTGAAAAGAGCAAGTGCAAGGTGGCTTTGGTAACAAGTTGTAGGCTTTTTTTCCCGCTTTTTTTCCCGCTTTTTTTTTGTGTTTCTTTTTGTTGTTGTTGTGGGGTTTTTTATGTTTTGGATTTTTTTACTTTATTGTAATCACAATCACAGAATAAAATCATTGCTGCAAGACATTAAATGTATAGCATTTCTTAATGTCGTATTTGAAGTTTGTAACATAATTGAAATTGAAATTTAAAATTACATTGAATTGTATTTCATGTAAATAAATCTCACAGTTTCAGAACTTGCACAAACTTATGCACTTAGATTTAAAGACAATCCCAAGACACAAAAGGTTAATTTTTAAAATTAATGACTTCTGCAGTCAAAGTTGTAACCTTACAGCACTTTTGAAAATAAGCCTTAGGAATCTCGAAGTGAATATAAAAATTACAGATGACACTTTAAGTTCTGGATGATAGTGTGTCAACATGCTTAAACTGGGCTTTTATTTTAATAAGTAGGAATGGTGGGTCTCCAGCTGCAATGCTTCAGTGCTTGCAGCAATAGCAGCAGAAACCCTTTCTGCTTGCTGTCATCTTCTTATCTTGTCATGTGCAAGATTGACAGTTACCTGTAATAAACCCACTGGTAGGATAATGTGAAGTACTATGGTTTAAGTGAAGAGTTTAGCTCAAATTTGAAAAAATAATCATTGCTCTAAGTGATTAAATATTTTATGAGATTGACATTGCCTTTTGTTATACTTGGGTTTGCATATACTTTCATATATCAAGTACAGATATATATAATTCTCCTGCTATAGGAAGCATAATTTTCAACTAATTTTTTTTTCCTCATTTTGCTTGTGGATTTTTCTTTTTTTTTATTATTAAAGCTTTGTTTGATGAGTGGGGAAATCATCCAAATGTCCCGTCAGATGAGTCTTATCTTTGAAACGATGGATCTTTCCCAGGCATCAGTAAGTTTTGTATTTAATGAAAATGTAAGATAAAGTTCAAGGTACTAAATGTATGATAAAATGATATTACAATTGTTCCTTAGCCTGCTACAGTCAGTCGTTGTGGCATGATTTATTTGGAACCTTCTCAACTGGGCTGGAGGCCACTTGTTACCTCTTGGTTGAGTAAACTGCCTGAACCTCTGAACTTAAAGGAACATCAAGATCTTCTGCAGGAACTTTTTGATTGGTTAGTTCCACCAGCATTAAGACTCCGTCAGAAGCAATGCAAGGTATTTTTTGTCATTTTTCCTACAGTAGCTTGGTGGCTGTTTCCATTCTTGTTACCCATCATAAGGAGGGACTGTTCTCTCATGACAAGCACAATTAGAATGAATATGCAGCAGCCTCCTGCTGTTTGGAGAAGGGCAACAAGTTTGGAAATTTAAAATATTAGCTAAGACTTGTATTGTAAGCTGATCATATTTTTCACCTTGTTCTTTTCAGAAGTAAAGTATTCAAAGCACTGAGAAGTCTTCCCAAGAGAACTTTGTACATATATTTTTATTTTTCTTTAATACCTCTTGTTGAGCAGGGAAGTACTTTTTTAAGTGTTAGGGAAAAACACAGAGTTCCTTGTGAACTCTGTGTGATACAGTGCCTAGGCCTTTGCTCATGTATTGCTGTAGTTACTTCCCTGGGGCTTTTTGTTCTAAGATCTATGATTGTAGCAGTCACATGGTACCTGTGAACATGGTTAACAAGCTAAATGTCTTGACATTCCAAGGACAGTGGACAAATGATCAGTGTAAACCTTGCCTTTGAATATTTGGTCAGAATTAGCTAATTATCTAATTATTTTAGCTCCAAAAGATAAACTATCTGAACATGTGTAGTTAATAATAAATAAATTTTAAAATAATACCCATCCTTTTGTATCTCTTAGGAACTGGTACCTACAAGCAATACCAATGTTGTAGTAGCTCTTACGTGTATTTTTGAAATGTTGATTTGTCAAGCTGTGCAGGAAGATCCTACCAACAAAAACATCCGTGCGTGGATTATGGTCTGTTTTTTTTAACCTTTAGAAAAATATATTTGTCTGTTTCTGCATATACCACCCTTGAAAAATAATTGGACTAATCAAAACAACTTTCACTTGCGATAAGAGAGATGTGAAACAATTTTGTTACCTCCTTGTTCCCTCCTTCCAAACTTAGGAGATGCCCGGATGAAACACAAGTCTTACAAGTAACAAATATGTTAAAATATTTCATTATTTTCCCCATTAAGTGGGGTAAATAGTGTTTTTCCATAAATGTGCTTTTTATCTAATAAAGTAATTAGCTAAAGCAAAGGGTCTTATTTCCCTTAAAGGAACGAAGTGTTCATGTAAGACTGATGGGATTGTTGGAGCAAAATTTCCTTGGGAAGAGTCTTTTTTTACAGTTCTATTAGTCAGACTCTACGTCTGACTTTATAGGACTGCTCTTATGAAAAAAACTGAATAAAACAGAATGTAAAAGTATTTATTGAAAATTGAATTACAAAATTCCTAGATCCTGGTTTGCAATTAGAAAATCCCAAAACCACAATTGAACTCTTCCCAGGCTTTGTCATGTGATCTATAATGCTCTAGTCTTTCTATTTGTGTCGTGTATATATAAACATATATATATGCACACACACACACTAAATAAGTATTTTTATATATATGTATCCTTAAATAAAGTTTTTTGTTTGCTCTGTCTTTAATTAGATGTCGAAATCTCTTTAGACCAGGGCTATTCAAGAGTAACTTGTAACAGATACTTGTTTAACAGTATTTTTTAGAATTATGTTTGTTAATCAGACTTTATAAGGTTCATATAATACGTCAACTTTTAAGGCATTTGCTCATCTTTTTGCCTTTGCAGGGTTGCTTTGCTTTTGCCACAATCTGGTCCATTGGTGGAACTTGCGATGGTAACAGCAGGATAATTTTTGATAGTTTCTTAAGGGAAACTTTGGCTGGGAAGAATGAAGTAAATCCTGTACCAACGAGTGTGAGGAAGTGGGAGTGTCCCTTTGAAGAGAGAGGCTTGGTCTATGACTACGTGTATGAGGTGACGGATTGCTTCTGCATGGACTGAATTAGGTTCTTACAGCCAGAAGGGAAGGGAAGAATAGCTAGATGAGGATTTTAACCTTACAAAGCTTGTTGGATATTATAGAGTGTGGTGTTGGATTAAATTCCACAGTGCAGTTTACATTTATTTTTCTTTTTTGAGTACTAAAGTACTGATTAAATATTTTCTAAAAATACCAAGATATACACATGTAGTTATATTTATAGTTTTGCCACATTTTAGTTATTTTGTAGCTAAAGTTAAGATAATGGACTCAAATCTAGTTTTGTATAGAAAGAAATATATGGACTGTCTAGAAGGAAAGCAGGATATTGAGCCCATAGGCAATTTGCTTATATTGCAGTTTTGTTTATAGTATCCATTAGAAACGTTAGATCATAAGTACGCTTAATATTTGCATATGTTCTGTTGTTTTTTTATGTTCGTATTTGTTTTGGCTGAACAAAATCTTTAAGAAAAGAAAGGAATCTAAGCTTAGATGTGTAGTTTAACTATTATTGAGATAAAGCAAACTAAGTGTAGGAACTTCTGAAACATTTAATATTAATTTATTAAAAATCATTATTTTAATTTTTTAGAAGTGAAACAGTAGAGAGAACCTTCCATAGGTATAGAACTGACACCATTCTGTTTTACATCTGTATTTCTTCCTAGCTGAAAGGCAAAGGATGTTGGACTCATTGGAATGTATTTATTAAAAATATTAATTATAGTGATAAAAATATGAAGATTCAAGATATTATAGTCCCAACTTTGGATACAGTCAGATACACATATTTGATAGAGCTATTCATTTCCCATGGAAAGTAAGTTTTGTCCCTTCAGTGCAAATTTCTGAAATATTGGTCATAGGTAGAAATATCACTTACTTTTTCCATTGACTTCATTGTTTTTTATCAGACCCTCAAAATCTATTTGGCCTGTTAAAACCAGACATTTACTGCAAACAATACAATTTGTTACTTTAAAGTCTGGGTTTGTTTGCTTGTTTTCTTTTAATAAAGCCTTATTATAATCCAGTTTTAATGTGCTCATTCTGATGATGCTGTTATGATAGCCGAAAGGGTTTTTGTACCTTCTTTCTTCTTTGGTAATGGATTTTTAAAACTTTTTCTTAATTTGATTAGTCATATCAAAATCCATTTTATTAACTATGGTCAGATTACATAAGAGAATGAAATATAAAATGTTCTCCAGTTAAATTTCAAAGCTGAATGTTTCACGGAGTTTTAAACTACTGCAAGACCTATCAGGAGGAATTCAGCTCCAAGTTCAGGGCAAGTTAGTAAAAAATATGTATATTAGATTTCTGCAGTCTGTGTTCTTTCTTTCTTTCTTTCTTTGTGAAGACCACTGCTTTTAGTGGGACCAACAGGTACTGGGAAATCTGTCTATGTCAAGGACAAGTTAATGAACAACTTGGAGAAGGAACGCTACTTTCCCTTCTTTCTTAATTTCTCAGCTCGAACCAGTGCCAATCAGACCCAGGTTAGTAGAACAGACAATTTGTCTTTCAAAACGATAAAATATATGAATATTAATCTATGTTTTGAATATTTCTATCTGCATTATAGAACATTATTATGGCCAGACTGGACAAGAGGCGCAAAGGAGTCTTTGGCCCTCCAGTGGGAAAAAAGTGTATTATTTTTGTAGATGATGTGAATATGCCTGCTTTGGAGAAGTATGGTGCGCAGCCTCCCATAGAACTCTTAAGACAGTTCTTGGACCATGGATTTTGGTAATTATTTGAAATACAGTTGAAACTTTTGTTGATGCATTTCCTGATATGTTTGTTTATTCACTTGAATTTTACTTCAGGGGGTTTTTTTGTAAAGTGCTTTATAAATATTAAGGCAGTTTTATACATTTAAGTATAAAAATGTGTTGTTTGAAGTTGAAGCAACTTTCTCGGTTGCTTGTTAAGTGACTTTTCAATTTAGAAATTTGATCTTCAAATTAATTTGGGTTTTTTAGAAGGTTATATTGCTGAACTTCAGTAGGATTTTTATATGTAAATAAGACTATTCTTTTCCACCTGAGTTTCTTTATGTCTGTGTTTTTCCAGTGCAGTTCCTTGTTTCTTTCCTTCCTCTTCCTCCTCAGAGTGAATTGGCAGGGTTATTTATATTGTTTTTATAAGACAACATCTCAAAATCGCATCTGAAAGTAACAGTGAAATCAGATCTAGTAATAGCCATGAAGAAAAATGAGCTAAAGGTCTTCTCTGACTTGGAGGCTTCTGGTTCTGCTTTGGCCTGGACTCCTAAATTATTTTGTGATTCCAGGCACTTCTCAAATACTCTTGCTTTTGTCATTCCAGGCTCGAATATGTGTTGCTCTTGAATACAGATAATGTATCTCACTACATTAATTTTAAATACCTGGCTCGAAATTTCATGTCAGTTTTTGTGTAACATGGTTTAAATAGATAATCTTTCTTTCAGACCAGAATGATGTGTTGAGATTAACTGGGGCATAGTTATAAGACCAGTTGTTTTTGGTTTGGGGGGCTTTTGGGGTGTTTGTTTTTTCTTGTTTTTAAAAATGTAAAATTGTAGTGTATAATGTATTTTTAAGTACATATGTTACACATGCAGAGAGTACTCTGTAGTATAAATAAGCAGTAACAAATATGTTATATCTGTAAATATTTAAATGTCACTTTGCAATTTATTTTGAAGGTATGATTTAAAGGATACCTCTAAAATTACACTTACTGATATACAGTTACTTGCTGCCATGGGACCTCCAGGTGGTGGGAGGAATCCTGTTACTCCTCGATTTTTGCGACACTTCAACATTTGCACTATTAATCCTTTTAGTGATGAAACAATGGTCCGCATCTTCTCTACTATAGTAGCTTTCTACCTACGGGCTAGTGAATTTTCTACTGAGTTCCTCACAGTTGGAAATCAAATTGTCAATGCCACTTTAGAGGTAAGAGGCAAATAACTGAATGAAAATTTCTTTTAATTTGTTCAGTAAAGTTCCACAGGCTCTATAATAATTTAACTGGTGAAGTAGAGATTTTAGATATTTTGTTCCTTATTATTTTCAACATGCACCTTCATCTGCTTTGACAAAATTGTCTTAGTTTTATTGTTACAGTAACCTTCTCATTCTAGGAAAATTGTGTTAGCATGGGCTTCACAGTACGTGTTTACATGATGTGACGTAGATGAGACTGGAATCTCTTTGGGATCAGACAGGCAGAAGAAGCTGTCACATGCAAAGGCAAAATGAAAACATCAATTAAAACCCCTCCAAAATTCCTTCTCAAAAAGACTTAAGAATGAAGAAATCACCCTCCGCACTTTCCTCCTCCCTCTCCCAGTTTTATACTAGTTATGGCCACATCATGGCAGACTAAGAAAGCCAACATAAACATGCAGCTTTGTACGATATGGCTCCAGTATGACAAAAGACATCACAGAAACCTTCTGAAACCAAAAGCCGTTAGGCCCAGCTGTATGGAATTTTTCAACGTGTTGTGATGTTCCGTATTACTTATTTTAGCAAGTATCTCATTTGCAGTGCACCATACACGTAACCATAGGAACGGCAATTCCTGTCATTTTTGCAAAGAAGGATTAAGTTCCAGACTTAATATCAAAGTATAGCTTTTCTAGCTTATTATATAGCAGAAATCATTAGCCATGTGAGCAGATCTATTGCCCACCATAAGTATTCATCCTGGAGATGCATTAAGTAGCTAATATTTGATCAATGAAACATTCTGACAGAAGAGCTGATTATCTTCAAAGGCAAAACCAAACGGCTGAATTTCTGTAGAGGGTGTGACTTTGTTCTGCAGAACTGAGGCCTTCCTCAGACTTGTCCGTTAGTTCTGCCTATACCCAAAGACATACTGAGGTCTGAATCCATCTCACTCCAAGGACTTGGAGAGCTCGTGTTTCAGAACTGTTGGTAGGTAACACATTCAATATATGAATCACAAGGCTGCCTGACTACTGCCACTAGAAATCTTTTTGTGGGTTCAATTAATCCTTCCAAAACAAACAAATAAGCAAGTAAATCACAAGAAATGCACAAATTCTGCTTCTTTAAATAGCAAGCAATAGTAGTAGCTACCAGTGAACTTAATGCATTTTCCTATATATTTAAAACATTCAGTTTTATCAGGATACATCTTAGACCAATTTCAACATCTCTAGATCAATTTCAGTGTTATCTTTTAATATGATCATGCAGGTATTTCTCATCAGATGTTACCAAATTTTGTTTATACTGTTGGGCATTTAGATGTTTGCTTGCTGGAGAATCTGTTCTGACAGGAATCTTTGTCCTGATAAGCAATACCCTCCAACTCCTAGGATTAAAGTATAATAGAAGAACTGGGCTTTGGAATTGGCTTTGGATGCAGGACAACTGTGTAGTTGGTACCATGAGTATAGTCAAGCCTGTAACCCTTGATTCTTCTGTACTGTTTGTTGTTATTTTTTAGCAGCATGATGTTTGCTAATTGTCTTGGCTTATGACAGATTAGAAGTTTTCTCTTTCAGCCTTCACTTCAGCATATTATTTATGCTCAGTGTCATAAGAAATGATAGTTTCTATATAACAGCATGAACTAATAAGACCTGATGCATTCCAGATTAGAGCAAAACATTCATACTTTTCTTGATCTGCCTATTCCTTCATGACTCTTTTTATTTTTTGAGTAATCTGTAGACATGCAAACAGATAGATTTAAACAATTGAAAATCTAGGAAGTTATCGTTACATATCATTCAATCCTTCACTTGGGAGAAGATATAAAATTGAAGGATGTCAAGAGATCTCAGTGCTATTTCTGGTCCTACAACAGATTTCTTTAGACTTGCTACAATTATTTTTCCCATTTGCAGTTAAATTAGTAGTACATGTTTGTTCCAGAACTCCATGAGGTTCATCTGATAGAGCACATTGAGATCTTTAGACATTATTAGGGTTTTATTAAGTATGAAATATTTTTCTTGGAGAAACAGTTTTAGAAGGCATGACTTTTATTATAATAATACAGTCAGTGTTACTGTCTTGTTGACTTTGTTCTTTTTTGCTGTTATTTTCTTAAGGTGTATAAGGAAGCCATCAAAAATCTTTTGCCCACACCAGCCAAATCTCATTATACATTCAACCTGCGTGACTTTTCACGTGTTATCCATGGCTGCTTGCTCATTAAGAGAAAATCAGTTGAAAGCAAACATGGAATGATTCGACTGTTTGTACATGAGGTATTTCGTGTCTTCTATGACCGTCTAGTGGAAGACAATGATAGAGCCTGGTTGTTCACTTTAATGAAAGATATTGTGAAAGAACATTTCAAAGAAGCATTTGATTCAGTTTTTGCACACCTGAAGCAAGGAGAGACACCTGTGAGTATCAGATTTAACCTATTGGAAAAAAAACTTTAGTTATAAGTTTAGGACTAGAAAGTTTCTCAATCATAAGCAAAGTTTTGGGTCAAATGTGCTTGAAAATTTGAGTTGAATTTGGCAAAATGGCTTCTCTGACAAAAAAAATCAATAAATGTGTTTTGAGGGATTTAACTGTTGTATATAAATATCCTTTTCAAAAAATATTCAATTTAAAATGTGAGTAAACTTAGTATTTTTCCATAGAATAATTTTGTGTATCTTACAGTGAAACAAAAACTTATTCAATTAAAAAAAATAGTATGGTTTTTTCAGATTTACTAAAAAAACCCCTGGATATGTATCTTTTATAAAATTCAGGTTATGAAGCAGTGTTTTATTAAGCTCCTAGCTGTCTGCACACAGAAATAAAGGATCCAGTTAATCAGTAGGTCAGCAGAGCAACTTTTAAAAAAAAATGTCACAGCAGCACATGCTGAATCTTTGGGCAGTGGTGAATAACAGAAATGACCAGAGTAATTTTTAAATCACTAAAGTAACTGGGATCTATGTGTAGTACTGTGCCTGTAAGGAGAAATGCAAGTATGAATGCTCTCAAGTGAACTCCAGAGACTTGATTTACAAGATAAAGAAACATTCTCTATTTAAATTTAGCCTGTGACTGAGTTACTGTGTCATAAACAGCATTCTGTAATTGTTATGAAACTTTAGTATTTAAAATATTGTAGAATCATGTTATATTGTATGTCTTGTCTTTCTTTCTTCTGTTTTTCATTTTGTTTTCCCCTGTCATTTCATTGACATATAGAAGAAATAAATTTGAAATCTTACCTATTTAATAATACATTGAAAATTGCTGAATGTACATCTGTATAAATTTGGTGTAATCTGAAGGTCATGATTATGAGACTGTTAAAGGCTATTTGAGCCAAATCTGTCCCAAGATCTTGTTAAGAGTAGGTGTATTGTTTAATATAGGCAGTAGAGAATTTTGGGGTGGGTGTTGCCTGTGAGTCAAAGTGTTTCATGAGGCTTGTGTCTGGAGTATTTGTCTAAATTCTCATTTGTTTTCTAATGAGGAATTAGAAAGTGAGGAATGTGTTCATAGAATGTTAAATGTGACTTCATAATTTGTTCAATATTTACCCTAGGTAACAGAAGAGGACATGAGAAATTTGTTTTTTGGTGACTACATGATTACAGAACTTGAGGAAGATGAAAAGCTTTATGTTGAAATTCCAAGCATTCAGCAGTTTGGCGATGTTGTGGAGCAGTGTCTGGATGAATATAATCAAACCCACAAAACAAGAATGAATCTTGTAGTTTTCAGGTGCATACAGTCTGTAGCAAGAGCTTTAAGCAGTAGTTGGTAATTCAGTCTGTCAGATTTTATTCGCTGTGAGTTTTGTATATCTCCTCACCTTTATGCATCCACAAAAGTGTTTGTGGTATTACACCTCTTTGGATGGATGCCTCTGCCTTTCCTATCCAAAAGTAGTTTGGATAGAAAATTTTTCTCCTAAGGATCTTTGGACATACTCTTTGGTTGTTAAAGAAACATTGTGCACTAAATCAGGCGGGTACTCTACTTCCACTAGGCCTCTGTTAACAGTGAAGGTGGATGTCAGTTCTTCCTGCAGCCACCCAAACTTCCAGTTCGCCAAGGAGAGGGATTCTAAGATTGTGAGGTGCTGAGTGAGATGATCAGAGCCATCCATCTGCTCTGTTACTGGGCAGCACAGCCATACCCCCCTTGGGGCTGTGTGCCCAGCCTGCTGTTGCAGCTAATCCTGTGAAAGTGCAGACTCCCGTGGGCTGCTCTTGTTACCTTAACTAATGATCAGGCAGAGCTACAACTGAGATGGATTAGGTGTCTTCCTTTTTCCCTGTTACTAGAGATTACTGCCTCTTCATGTTTGCCATTGTAACGTGACATGTAAATGCCCCATGAAGGTGATTAGGCTTGGCTTAAACACTTCTAATAGCTGTTTGTTTCAGTCTAGTTCAGTGAGTACCTCTACATACTACTGTATATACAACTATCCTGGGAGTTTGAAGAGCTGGCAGCATCTCATCAGAGGCCAGTTCCTGGGCGTAGAAGCAGTATCCCAGATACCTCACAGAACAGCAGCCAGGAGAGCATGTCTGGCTGTAGCCTTAGACTCCAACCTCATAGATATCATCTGGATTTGACTCCTTTATTTTTCTAACGAGTAAAAATAAACAAGACTTTATCCTTTTTAAAGTGCCTTAACTTTTTTTGAGACCACTTTTAACTGCTGCTTAGCTTACTTTAACTACCCTGTGCTTGCTGCATATTACGACGAATGATGCTTGTGTTTTCACAATAGATAGGACTCTCAGTAATGTGCAGGTACGTTCTGATGATGTTCCAATCTCTCTTTCACATGTAAGTTATAAAACACTGGCAGAGGCAGAGGGAAGGAAGAGATTTGTTAATATAACCCATTATTCCCCCCGTTGTTCCTTTAAAAGTATTTAAATTGTTATACTTCAAGGAAGTTAAAACTGATAATACTGTTAGATTTAGGAGTAGGAAATTTCTGTTTATATTCTTTTTCTTTGACACCATTATCCATATAGTGCTTCTGTTCTTGCCATTGCCCATTCCTTTCAATAATTTGTAGTAATTTGTAATTTAGCTAAATACTGATATTTGTACAACAGAGGAGTTGTGAGTCTTATTATACTTTGTGGTGCAGACCCACTGTCTTTTGCCCTCTCCCTGCCCGAGCCCCACCTCACTGTAAGAAATCTGTTTGGAGATGCTACTTCTGTACTCTTTTCACAGATTTATAGGTGCACAAATATAAATGTCTTCATGCCATTCCAGTAATCAGCATGTTTCAAATATAGGTATATGTTGGAACATTTGTCTCATATAAGCCGTATTCTGAAGCAGCCAGGGGGTAATGCTTTGTTGGTTGGAACGGGAGGAAGTGGACGTCAGTCTTTGACTCGTCTAGCAGCATTCATGGCAAAAATGTGTGTCTTTCAACCGGAGATTTCAAAGACCTACAGTACAAATGAGTGGAGAGAAGATCTGAAAGTGAGTGTTAATAACCTGTGTACATTTTGACTTCATTTTGAGGAAGGATTTCTTGGAATGTACTATATTTGAATTCTCTTGCATTTTTAGAGTCTTCTGAAGAACGCAGGTGTAAAAGGCTTGAAAACTGTGTTTATAATCACAGATGCACAAATTAAAGAAGAAAGCTTTTTAGAAGATGTTGACAGTATCCTCAACACTGGGGAGGTACCCAATATTTTTGCAGCAGATGAAAGACAAGAAATTATAGAGGTATCCTTATAAATTCTCTTTACTGTCACTTTTTATAGCTATTTTGTCAGTTCAGTGTGAAGAGTGACTTTTGGATATGTGCACTTAATTCTGTGACTTTTTTTGAGACTTTAGATAAATCAGCCAGTTATTAGTAAATGGGCCTAGCATTCTGTTCACAAACACATTAAGTTGTGCGTGAAGGGAACTTTGATTGCTCGAACTTTGATTGCTCTCGAATACCCTGTGGCCATAGTTATTTTTTGCAGTGTATTGTGCAGAAGAATCTACTTCATGGAGCTTTCATTGATCAATTTTTCACTGATCAGGACAAAGACATCTTTTGAGAAAATACAACCCGTCTTTGTCGATAGACTCCTGCTGTCTAGGGGACGGGGCCATTGTTAGACAGAAATTCATAGTCTTGACATTCTACTCAGAGAGAAGTTGGAGAAGGGTGCTCCATAAATTCCATCTCAGAAGTAAAGATGCAATGTACTTGGGACATTAAAAAAAAATTCTAGTGAAAATCAGGCTTGGATTTTCAAAATAGGAGTCACCGGTTGGGTGATGTATACATCACGTTGGAAACTGAATGTTAGCTAACAGTATTTGGAACTGTACACTGTGCTGTCTTCATACCTCTGTGGTATGTTAATAATAGATTACCTAGATGTGCTTCTAGCTGACATTCCAAGTGGTTTTTTTGTACACCCACAAATGTTCTTTATTAAAATAGCTGTATCACTTGATAAATGTTATTTTATTGTTTTTTTCTCACACTTAAATTATGGAGCATGGTGATACCTGCACTTCATGCGTTTTGCAAAGAAGTTAGAATATTGTCTCTAATAATTCTTATCTATCACTGTTTTATTCTTGCCAGGTATATAATAACAAAGATAATGTGACTCTTTTGGAGTTTTACAGTTTGTACAAATAAATTCAATTGGTGTATGCTGGAACTTGGTAACTATCCATAATATGCTAAGTGGAACAAACTTGGTTTTACTCATTTAAATCTGCTCTGCCAAAATATTTCCACTGCTACTCTTTTGCTGCTAAACTAATTTTTATCACTTATTTTAATTGCAGAATTATGTCAAATGTGGAAGAATAGTTTGAGTTTTAGGGGTTTGTAGTCAGTGTTTCATGGATTGTTAATTAATAAATGAACAATGTATAAATATGTATATAAATAAATACGTAAAATAATATTTTTATGAAGTAGTCTTTAGTTTTGACATAGTTTCATTGTTTGAAACTTAAATCTTCCACTATAATTACAACATGTTTTGCTATAATATTAAAGCTAAAAAAGTTGCTAGTCAGTGTCTTGAAATGCTGTTTGGGGGACTTACATGGCACTTAAAGCATAGATTATGACAAAAACATTTGCTTTTCTTTTAGTGGCTTTTGTGTAATGAGAGTAGTTCTTTGCCTTATATGTTTGTATCTCACAAAGCTTTGAGTGACTGAAGATCAACTGTAATTAAGCCAGATAGTTGTATTTATCATTAGTAGGCTTTGGTTCTTTATTTCTTGAGAGACTTAGTTATGAATTTTGATTTTTCGGAATGTGTCTTAATCCTGTGTCTCATCTTAATATCTTTTATCCATGTGGAACTTGGGATTTATTTTGAGTTTTTGTTCTGCTGTATTCTGATATTCTCAAAGCAGCAAATGATAATTTCTAGGATGAGTTGTCAGGGTCACAGATAAATGTTGTAATCCTATTCTCAAATAATACTTACTAGTTGATATGATTTTCTAATTTATACTACCTTTTTCATTTATCAATAAAAAATTTATTTCATGGTGATGCTATCATTAGCATGATGGCTATAGGACTTCAGAAGTGCTTAATGAGAACTATCTAACAGTTTTTATTCTGTGTATTATTCCTAAGGGTGTTCATGCAACAGCTCAGGCTGTCAATAAACATGAAGAACTCAGTCCCTTGGCCTTGTTTGCATTTTTTGTGAACGTCTGCAAAGAAAATCTCCATATTGTGGTAGCGTTCAGCCCAGTTGGAGATGCTTTCCGCAATCGTCTGAGACAATTTCCCTCACTTATCAACTGCTGTACTATTGATTGGTTCCAGGTATGTGAAAACATTTTTATTATTTCATCAACAAACTAATTCAGTGTTCTAACAACACTACCTGTATTTTCATATCCTGTTAAATTTTCTCTTGTCTTCTATACAGAAGTACTCCATGGGGTGGGGTTTTTTGTACTATTTTGGGAACTTTTTGATGCATGTTCTCAATATTTCTACAACTAAACAAACTCAATCTTTTTTGCTACAACTTTGACATTTCTGAGGTAATGAATAGTCTCAGTTTGGCATTGGTAACTTCTCTTTTTATCACATAATGCGTATGTTTTAAAGCGCTAGTGAAACCTCATTTCAACATGATTGTAAAATTTCTGCTGCCTGTTAAGCAGATTCAGCATCATGGGAATGACTGGCAAATACAAGTCCTATTGCTTATGAGTGTATCTTATAGCAGGGTAAAACTTGGAAGATTACTGTCGTTAACGCTCCTCAGTGTGATTTGCATTACTCTCAGTAAAGTGTAGTTAGCTCTGTAGCTTCGCCTGGTGCTCACATCAACTTTTCTGCCAAAGGATAACATAGACACAGAAATGTTTGGATAGAATGGCAATATGTAGCTTTTAACTAGTTCAGCCGGGAGTTTCCAGAAAAGAGTAGTGACCTTGCTGCCTGACCTAACCTTATTGTTCATTATTCTTAAGGTGTAGTTGGAACTAGCGTGTCGGATTCTGGTGTTTTGAATGGTAAAAATTGTTTTTAAAATATGAAGACCGCTAACAGCTAAATCTTACAAATGCTTCTCCTCACTTCTCACTCAGCCGTGGCCTGAAGATGCCCTTGAAAGTGTGGCTGACAAGTTCTTAGAAACACTTCAGCTCAGAGACAGTGAGCGTCAGGAAGTTGTGCCCATCTGTAAATACTTTCATACTTCCGTTTTGTCACTCTCTGAAAGGTCAGTCTGTTTCTTTTGAAAATAACTCATTAGGGAAAATCTAATGCTGCTGAAAGTAGTAAGTTGAGCAGTAGAGAACTCAAAAGTTGAACTTATAGAGGTAAGAAACAGCAAAATAGTAGGCAATTGAGATTCATTACTGCTCATTTCTGTCTTAATGTATACTATCTGCCTGCATAAAAACATTAAATAAAATTGTTGAAATTGTATACTTCTGCTATTTGTCAGACAGTTACATAGCTTTGCTAACAATCATTAAACTACAAAAAGAAAACAAAATTTAAAGGTACTTTTTTTAAACCTTTTTTTTTTTTTAATAGGTTCTTGCAAAGTCTGGGACGCCATAATTATGTCACTCCTACTTCTTATCTTGAGTTTATTGCTGCCTTCCGGAAACTTCTTACACAGAAACGAGACGCTGTAATGAAAGCCAAGAAGAAATACATAAATGGACTAGACAAACTAGCTTTTGCTGAGTCACAGGTGATGTAGGAGAAAACTGAAATGAAAATACAAAATGTTTGGCAAAAGCAAGTCTTTCCCTGGAAAAGTCAGTCAAAAGCATTACTTCAGATCTCGTCTAGTTCTGTCTTCAGTAGTAAAACAAGAAATGTGTTTTGCCTGTACCTCCCTGCAGTCATAGCAGTTGTGTTAGAGGCCGCAGAACTCTAAGCGTGTATCGCTAAGCAGTGTATGAACACGAACACAGCTTCCCTTTCCTGAGTGATTAATGGGTGACTATAAGTGAGCACAGTTCTTAAAATTAGAGATTGTACATATGACATAAAACTACATCTCTGAAGTGTTTTGATTTGAAACAGAATGTTATTTCCTTCTGTCAATAAATTAGTCCTTAGGTAAAGTCTAGATTTTATAGAAATTGCTGGAAATGGTACTTGGCACTTACGATTCCTAATTCTTTTGCATATGTGTAGGTTGGTGAGATGAAACAAGAACTAGTTCAGCTGCAGCCCAAACTGGAAGAGGCTAAATTGGATAATGAAAAAATGATGAAGGTAGAGTTATGCAAATACAACTGTGGGTTTTAATGTAAGCTTGTGTATTCTTGGGATACGTAATTTCACCTTTGTAATAATGACCTTTGAATCAGGAGTCTTAATTGTACAACGTACTTCTAGCTCAGATGGTTGTAGACAGATTCTAAAGAATATGTCCATATAAGGTTGCTGATATGTGTTGGAAAATAAGAGTGGAGTTCAGGTTTTTGAGCTCACTTCTTGTTTACTGGGATTTGCAATATAGTGAAACTTTTCACTAGTTGTGCTTATATCCTTAGAACTGGAAGAAAATTATGTTCTTTGTGTAAGATATGGTCCTTGCCTATGCTCCATGCTGAAGGGTGTTAGAGGAACTTCTGTGCTAATAGTGGTTAGAATGGATTTCCCAAGATCATTCACAAACATTGCAAAAACCACTAACAATTCCTCAGTGTACAAAATAAATAGGAAGAGTTTTGCACAGTCTATTTTGGTCAAGGATTATAGACTTGATTTGCAAAATGATCCTAAAAATAATTCACTTAATAGAAATTGAGTGGGATATAGAAACCGATCGCTTAGGTGTTTTTCAAAATTCTGACTTCTGAAAATACACTTATCTAGTATGTTACTATTACCTCATAAAAAAGCAAGATTTGATTGATGTTTTTATGCACTTGCTTATGATTTTTAAGTGTTTTACAGGTACAATGGTCTCTCTTCTACCTACTCTTACAAACCTCTAAGAAAATTAGATATCACTTATGTAGAACTGAAAAGGGAATACTTGGATGAAGGCTTGATTCATCACTAAAAAACAACTATCAGCAGTCAATATTATGTCTATGAAGCTATGACAACTCACTGTAAAAGCTAGTACGTTTTTAGTTGCAGCCTGATGCACAAACATGGAGATGCTTGTCTTCTAAACTTGAAACATTTTTTAACTGCGTTTTATTGACAGTAGTCTGATTTCACGCAGCTTACCTGCTGTTAAAGCTCCATGATGATGTCGCATTATGCCAAGAGACAAATTATTCCCTTCAAATAAACTGAAAATATTGAAATACTCTCTTTATATTTTAGTGTTCCGTAAGTGCTATACTAGAAAACTTCATCTGATTTAATCATTTATTGCTTAATAAGAACCTCACGCATGTGTTTTTCTTTAGACTATAGAAATAGAATCTGCACAAGTAGAACAAAAAAGGAAAACTGTAAAAGCAGATGAAGAAATTGCTACAGAAAAGGCTGAAGAAGCTCAGAAATTGAAAAATGAATGTGAAAGTGACCTGGCAGAGGCAATCCCAGCCATGGAAGCTGCACTTGAGGCTCTTGATACTTTGAAGGCAAGCTGAACTAAGCTTCAGCATTTCAAAGGGGTTATTTAACGTGATGAAATTTCCATTTAGGACAAAATGCACTAAAATGAACAGAATTTGAAAAATGTTCAGAAGTGGTTTTCTTCCATTTTGGCCAAGGAGAGGACCTTTACAGTCATTATTTGATGTATTTGCTCTTCATGTGTTGAGAATACAAAGGGGGAGAGGGTATTAAAAAAAATATTTATTTACAAGAATTCACTTTCGTGAAAAGTAGCCAAAGCCTGAAGTTACCAGTAGTGGTATCAGCTGAATTTCCTCTTTCAGCTAAGTTCATGTTGACTGCTGTTGTATAACATGACATTTGCATATAGCTAAGAATTATCTGGATCTTTGTGTTAAAGGTTTTTTCCTTGTCATGACTTACACATGACCTGAAGCCAGTATTATCAAGACAGTCCTGCAGGAATTTAGTATTGTAGGAAAAGGTAGTTTAGTACGAGTTATGAAGTATGTGAGATATCTTAGATGACACTTAGGTGAGTGTATAAAAAATATTCTGACCTGACTTTTTAAAACATAATTTTAATTAATCATTAGTTCACAGTTAGTAGCATTTATTTCATTTTTATTTCCCCTGCATAGAATATGTAGTTGGATATTGTTAATTGTTTTGCTAACACTGTACTGTCACTCCTAAAAGTCCTATATAATTATGTTCATTGGTAATAGTGTAATAATTCCACATTTTTTCTGTTAGTTTATATATCTTAGTGGTGAAAAAGGTGTAACATTTGTCATAATTTTTTAATGTGATTTTTATTTTAGCCTTCTGATATATCAATTGTCAAATCAATGAAAAATCCTCCCTCTGGTATCAAACTTGTTATGGCTGCTGTCTGTGTCATGAAAGACATAAAACCTGAAAAAATTCCAGATCCGTTAAGGCCTGGACACAAGGTAAAACGGCAGACGGTAGTTTCAAATAAAAGTTGAATTCGTGCTGTTTTCAACACAGGGCACTTGTTCAATAAATGAGATCACCTAAAGTCCACTAAAGTAGGCAAGTACTTACAGCCTTCATCTGTTGTATTACTGAAAACTTCCAGAATCCCAGATTTTCTAAGTTCTGTAATGTGCAAAGAGTTCAATTTACTTTACTGTACTTGTATATAGAAAATATGTAACTCTTCAGTTTTTGGCTTCAGATGTGGTTCAGGGGAAATATTTGATGTGATAGACTTTTTGCTTTATTGATATCTCAAGGAGATATAAGGTCATGAGTATTAAATATGCATGAGTTTTAACTAAAAGAGATTTGTCATTTTTTTTTGTGTATTTGTTTTAAAGCTTGATATTTCCTACTGTTTTGTAGATTTTGGATTACTGGGGTCCAAGCAAGAAACTGCTCGGTGACATAAATTTCTTGAAGGATTTGAAAGAATATGACAAGGACAATATTCCAGTAAGATTTAAGTCTGTTTTTTCAGTGACTTTTACCATGTAGACACTTTCTTGCAGGAAAAATAAATAAAATTAGAAAATACTATACCAGAGGCCCCATTTGGCCCATTAGTCAACTTCTGTTATAAACAGGCTTCTTTACAATATGATAGAGTATCTCCGTAGGATGAGTATGGTCATGGCAAGTGAGCCAAAATTCCTGAGGTTGAGCCTTCTAAGTGACATTTCAGAAGATTTTAGAATCCCCTGTAGGAATTTCTGCAGCTTCTATACAGCCTGTCTTCTATTTAAATGAAATGTCCTTCTGTGCCCAAACATTTCTAACTTTGCAATTCATAGGCGGCATCTCAGCAAAAGGTGAAAATAGCACATAAAAAACTGCATCAGAGTAGTCAGTCCTGCCCGTTATCCTGTGTGCAAAACTGGCCATAAGCAGGTGCCTTGGAAGGAGTAGGAACAGTATGTTTGATAATTTCTTCAAATATTCTTCCAGTCCTTGGCACTTTAAACAAAGAATTTCCAAAGCTGGTTGTAGTTTCTGTGTGTTTAGTAGCTTTCAGTGGATCGTTCTTGTCCAGTTTCTCTAGTCCCCTTAAGCCCGTGTAAGTTTTCTGTGTCTACAAGATATTTTTAAAAGTGTTTCAGTGGTCTGTTCTAAGTGATATGAAGAGCTATCTCCTCCTGTTTCTTTTGAGAATGGATCGTTATAGCCTCATGTTATGTATTCTGTTTTGGATTTTGGTTGGGTTTTTTTTGTGCAACCAGAGAACATTTGATCCCTGTCTAACCTTTTAATGCCTTTTTTATTATTATTTTATACTAGTTTTTCTAAATCAATTACTCTGACATTATACACTTTTCTATATTTAAATAACTGCCAACATTGGTGCTCTTAGTGACTTTTTCTGATTATATTGTTTTGGTTTAATGAATGATGACAAAATGGGTATACTAGAAGATACACAATAATATACAATAAATGCAGAAACGTACTAGTTATATAACTTTGTTTGAAATACAACCATCTCCCCCAGAGGCCTTGCTGTCCAAAAGTATCTTGCCATTTGCTCAGTTTAGGGGAAACTAAATGAGGTTTGGAAAAGATAGCAAATAATGAAATTAGCACGTTTTGCACAAGGGACAGCATAAATTGAGGCTTCTGTCGGACTGCAGTACTCTTAGCACTTAGGTAGCCGCCACACGGAAGACACCCAAATATGTGATTATAAAGGATAAGAATAAGATTAGAATGGAAACATGGAAAGACCACAAAGCATGACAGGAAAATCAAAACTAACACATGAGCACTGATTTCTACCGCAATTAATACTGAGTAGTTCTTTCTTTTTTCATTACGTAGAGAAATGGCAATCAGTGTAATTTTACTGTGTCAGCCATAAGACTTTGAGCTATAATGCTTTTGTTATCCAGGCAGCTATCATGCAGAAGATTCGGGATGAATATTTGACTAATCCCGAGTTTGATCCACAAAAGGTGGCTAGAGCTTCCTCCGCAGCAGAGGGTTTATGTAAATGGATTGCGGCAATGGAGGTGTACGACAGGGTTGTAAAGGTGCGTTTTTAATCCTAGTCCCTCAGTGCTATGGAGTCTTACCTTTGTTTGTTATATTCATCCTAAGCATTGTGTTAAATAATAAAGTTAGGAAAATGTGTTTCAAGTGTGTGTGTATTGGTTGTAATCAAATAGGTGGTTGCACCCAAGAAAGATCGTTTAAGAGAGGCAGAGCAGTCCTTAGAAGAGATGCTGACAGTCTTGAATCAGAAGAGAGAAGAACTTGCGGCTGTGGAAAATGATCTGGCTGCTTTGGAACAAACTTTCACTGAGAAAATTGAAGAAAAGACTCATTTAGAATTACAGGTTGATCTGTGTGCTAAAAAATTAGAACGAGCAAAGCAGTTGATTGGAGGCCTTGGTGGAGAGAAATCAAGGTCAGTGTAAAGTTCAAATGTCAGATGTAACAGCTGTTGCAGAAATAGAATTTGCACAGTTTTCTAAGCCCTTAGTGCTATACCTCTGTCACAGGACTGTGTCACTGTAGAGTGTAACAGTGGGCCCTTGAAAGATTCCTAATTGTTTGTAATGTAAAACTATGGGCAGCAACATCAGGAGAATTGTAGAGGAAGTCTTCAGAATTAGAGTAAAATACATAAACATATTGTCCTTATTCTCCACCTGAAGTTAAGATGAACAACAACAAAAAAGGTAGATTTTTATCATCAGTATCATTACTGTGGAGGTTTTGGCACCATTTTTTTTTCCTGTATTTTCTGCTTGGCATAGGTGGAGTGATGCTGCAAATGATCTTCAAGACACGTATGATAATTTGACAGGAGACATTCTGATATCAGCTGGTGTGATAGCATATCTGGGAGCTTTTACTGCTGGATTTCGGCAAGAGTGCACTGAAGATTGGAGCAGGCTGTGCAAGGTTAGAAGGTTATTTTAGATGTAACTAAGTGTTTGCTTTTTTGCAAACAGATGCAAAAGACCTCACATATCACTTGTTGTTTGTTTAATATTAGCCTAGTAAAACTCATTAAGATCAATGGGATAAATTCTACTGATCCAATATTCTGTAAATTTGAATTTAATTAAATTAGTGAATTTACTCTAGACTTAATGTAGCACAACAGAAACGAAAGCACATCATTGACTTGGTAAGGCTTTCATTATTAAATCTCAGAGTTTTCTTTTTCTGCCTTTAAATGGAAGAATTAACTTTGAAATGCAGTTATGTATAATGTAAAAATATTTCTGTGATAACTTACACAGGCAGATATTTGTATGCTAGTTAAATGGTTGATTTTGCTGTTTGCTAAGGGACAGTTCCAACATCCTAACACTGTAATTCATAAATTAAGTGATTTGAGGTCACTGATTATGAGTGTAACATGAAAGAGTAACATGCTCCAGTTGAGCCCTGGCACAGGCTGTGCAGAGAGGTTGTGGAGTCTCCTTCTCTGGAGATATTAAAAATCTGCCTGGACGCATTCCTGTGTGACCTACTCTAGGTGATCCTGCTTTGACGGGAGGGTTGCACTGGATGATCTTCCAACCCCTAACATTCTGTGATTCTGTGAAATCAGCACTGGATTAGTGTATTGAGTTAATGGAAGACTTGGTCATTAGATGATTTCAAACTGCGTGTGAGTTTCTTAACTTCTCAACTTTATGCCACAAAACTTCTGCGGTTAGAATGTGCAAAAAACTAGACAAATCCTACAAAATTTTGAGAGTGTGCAAATATTCACTGGGGAAAATATAGTTAGCTATTGAAACTATGATTTTCTTTTTCTCAGGATTTTTGCTTATACTCAACCTGTTTCAAATTCTTAAATGAAAATGCACACAGTCACTTTGGATTGAAGTGGCGTTTAATAAAAGACCTAAAGCTAAATGAGTTTTTGTTCTGGTTTCGTTTGTTTTTTTTCCCAGGAGAAAAATATCCCTTGTTCTGACAATTTCTCTTTGAGTGCCACTCTTGGTGATCGAATAAAAATAAGAGCCTGGAATATTGCTGGTTTGCCAACTGATACGTTTTCTGTAGACAACGGGGTTATTGTTGACAATTCAAGGCGTTGGTAGGTGACAAAAAGGTTGAATGTTCAAATCGAAACAAGTTTTTCACTTTTTTAAAAAAAGCAGACTAAATGGAGACAATGCGGCTTCTCTAGAGACAGTGTGATTGAACGCAGGGGTTGAATCTTCATATCCAGCTCCTGTGAAATTTATGAGATACAATACCAGATTTGAGTTTGTAGTTACTTAAAAGATTTCATTGCAGGACACACAGTGCTCTTGGAAAAAGGTTTGGTTTTGGTTTGGGTTTTTTTTGTTTGTTTGCTTGTTTTTTAGTATTGTACCTTATTGTCCTATTACTAGATAATGGAGCATTTTTAAGAATCTGCTTTAAAACTGCACAGAAATCTTTCATGCTTTACATGTTTCATGGTAAGATTCAGGTTACGTAAATTACAGGGTCCAGATATCCCCCAGTCCACCTTGGGCTCTTACACTTACAAGTTTTCTAAAATTTTCTTCTTGTTTTATGTTTTATAGAACTTTATTGTTTGTAAAACTCATATTTATCTAAAAGATTATTTTAAGACCTTTAACAACTTTTATTCCAGCTGAAATTTTAGTTCAAGAATGATATCTATTATGTTATATGAAAACTTGTGATAGCTGTCTGTAAGTAATCTGTACTCAGTTGAAATATAAGATTATGAAACTTTCTAGTGCTGTACTTGTGATTCTTAAGAATTAGTCTTCGTAATAGATTCAGATTATACAGAGCTTACAGTATGTAATTCCATTTTTAGAATGTTGCTTAGTTCTTTGAGGGTGCAGTTAGAGGAGGTGTTTGATATCGTTCATGCTTGTTAAAATGACTTATTAAAATACATGCATGTAGATGAAACCAGCAATTGCAAAGGAGGGGCAAGTATATTAAAATAAATTAAAACTTTGATACATTTTCCTGCCCCACATATGTTTCTAGTCTTATACTGGCTGATATAACATGTCAAGATTCAAATTGCAGCTAAGTGCTGACTTTTATTTTTTGAAGTGAAAAAATATCTGAGAAAGAACTCAAAATTGTAAAAATAAATACCTTCTAAATACTGAAAATTCTGGAGTAGAGGCAGAAAAAGATCTGCATCTAATGTCTTTTATGGAAAAATGTTATAAACATTTTTTGCAACTCTTAAGGTATTTCTTTTCAAGTTATGATAAAATACCTGAGAAAACTGTCTGATATGGTTTAGGCCATTAATGATTGATCCTCAAGGTCAAGCAAATAAATGGATCAAGAGTCTTGAGAAGGATAACTGCCTGAATGTTATCAAGCTCAGTGACACAAATTATATGAGAACGATAGAGAACTGTGTTCAGTTTGGAACTCCACTTCTGCTAGAAAATGTTGGAGAAGAACTAGACCCATCACTTGAACCTCTGCTGCTTAAACAGACTTTTAAACAAGGTATGTCCATAATTAATTTTGAACCCTGAAGTGATTACATTAATGTTCATCTTGTAGTCTATCTGATAGTTTTCTTTTTAGTCTCTACCTTACTGCTGCTTGTGTTAAGAGGAAGGTAACTTCATAAGACCCTGAAGTGTTGTTTTCTTTTTGTAGTATCATTCATATATCAAATCGTAGTTGTTTTACTTGAAAACCTTCACCATGTCACTATGGGAAACTAAATGAAGACCCTTGACTCTCCAAGGGGAAGATTCTCAATGAAATTATGTTTTGCATGTTAATTTTCATATGTTTTAGTCTAATACTAATATTTAATAAATTTTGCACAAATCAAGAAAAATTGTTAAGGCATTTTGCTTAAGGCACAATGCTCCTGTGTTCCTCTGAAACTTGCAAGTAGCTATGAATTGGGTTTTCACCTTTTCTTTCTTCTCCTCCTGGAAAAAGACAGAAAAATGCAGATAAACCCAAATATATTTTCCTTCCTTCTTACATAGTTTATTTTTGTGGAGTTTCATGTTCATACTAGAAGAAAAAAAAAAAAGCCTAAACACTTTTTTTTTTTGTTTCCTATTTCAGACAGGTAATTCAATGAAGGAATATTCTATAGGAACCTCATATTTGAGAACAGTTGCACAGCTTTCTGTTACCATCTCCATTATTGTATATGCACGTTGAAAGTATGGTAGTAATTGGATGGACTTGATTTCATCCACTGAAAGTAAAATATGGCCTCACTGAAGCCTATGAGAATTTTTCAGCACATCAGATTTGTTTATTTGTTTGTTTGTTTGTTTCTCCATCCTTTTCAGGAGACGATCATTGATGAGAATTTTGCGTTTCTTTAATCACAATAGTATTTTTCTTTTCTGTAAGTGATAATGATTTTCCTAACATTTCTCATCTTAACTTTAGGAGGCATCGAGTGTATCAAGCTTGGTGAGACCATTCTTGAGTATTCCAGTGATTTCAAGTTTTTTATTACCACAAACCTGAGAAACCCACACTATATGCCTGAACTCGCTATGAAAGTTTCTTTACTCAATTTTATGATAACACCACAGGGACTTGAAGACCAGTTGCTAGGTATTGTCGTAGCAAAAGAGAGGTAAGTCTCTCTTTATGGCAAGTAGCCATTTAAATTTCTTGTGATGTAATTCCAAAGAAGTGAGAGATGAATTTATTGTAAAGCAAAAAGAATGTTGCACAGTGTAAATGTAACTCAGTAACAGCTTTTAAAAAGAAAAAAGTACTTGTTTTAGTAGTCATCATGTCAAAAAAGTTTGTTGGGGAAACAGACTGCCATCATTACTGGCAAGTTAATTAACATAGGGGATTAAAAATCACTGTGTTTTCATGGCAATTTTCTACTGAAATGTTCTTTGAATTTTAGAATACCTTGTAAATATTATTTGAAGTTTAAATCATTATTGTGATTTTTACAATCTGATTGAGCTGCCAGAGAAGAGTGCAGAATTGTGAGGATTTAGTTTAATTTCGTATGAAATAAATGCACTCTACCTCTGAAACTAATTATGGGTCTTTCCTGAACCCACACAGTGATATAGAGTAGTTTCTGGGTTGTATGGAAATGTCTGTGCAGTTGGGCTAAACACTTATTCTGACTATCACAGGGTGGTTTTTTTCAGGCACTAGGCCTGCCTGTCAGGATGCACTGACATTTGAAAAATGAGAAGATACTCAAGTTTAGACCATGATTTCCAAATGCTGAACTGAAGTTATGCAAAGAAATCGATACTCAGAATTATAAATATATGCTGAACAATAACAACCTGTTTAAACTGAGGAGAATATTCACAAATATTTATTGTAGGAAAAGGGAGTTATCTTCATGGGCTTCCTTTTCAGTCAGTGAAGATGAGCATTGACTGGTCTTGTATGTGGTTTTTCTTCATTAGACCAGAATTAGAAGAGAAAAGAAATGCTGTCATCCTTCAGTCTGCAGCCAACAAAAAGCAGCTAAAAGAAATTGAGAAGAACATTTTAGAAACCTTACATTCATCTGAAGGGAATATTCTGGAAGATGGGACTGCTATCAGTGTCTTAGATTCTGCTAAAATTATGGCTTTGGAGATCACAAAAAAACAGCAGGTAAGGAATGTGTACATGTGCTTTCTTTAACAATATAAAAAAATTGAATATTAAGATTCGCAACTAGCAGGATGACTGTGAATTAGGTGCAAAACCTAAGGAGGAATTTCTGTGCTTGTGAGATGTGTAGAGAAATAAAATTTTATCTGTTCTGGAATCTTCATTGGTAGTTTATTTAGTCTTTAAGATGTTTTAAAGAATACGTATCTCTAATGACTGAGTGAAAAATAATAAATTCTGAACTTGAAGTAACAAGATAAAGGAGGCAAATAATTGTTTAAAACAATAAAAATGTTCGGGGAGACATTAATATCTGGATGACTAATATAGGTACACAAGCACAGATTCTTTTGTTATACTTAATGAATAAAATACCAGCTGAAGTCAATGGGAGCTAAATGGCACTGATAAGAGAATAAAGATTATTTTTTATACATTGTTTTTAATTACTATAGACTTAATGAAAATCAAATATTATTGTTTTCTTTAGCTGATGTTGGCCTTACTGCTATTTGTTAGTGACTAACAAATGTAGAATTTGTCTGATGGTCAAATTTTGAAAACACATTATACATTCAAATGATTTTTTGTATAAAGCTGATTACTTATTCAAGTAGAGCTTAAATACATAACGAGACTGAAATTAGTCATGTTTTTGCATAGTGCAGAGATAAATTGATATTTTTGATGCTAAATGATGCATCAAAACTGTCCTGCCTCCTTTGTTTTGACTATTGCATCCTGTAGTATTGGTAAATAGATCAGACTCTACTATATTAAGGGCCAAGTGCTCCTTTTACGTAGTGTAGTCATTACTTACTGTGATTGTGCCTTCCAGAACATAGAAGTTATTTTGCTCTGGTGTTAGAGAGTGCTGTATATATGTGTGTATATATGTATATATATATATATATAATATTATTAGGTAGTAATAATATTTTCATACAGAGAATATTGAAAGCTTTTCTTTATTCACTACTCTTGATATTTAGATTGCAGAGAAAACGGAACTTAAAATAGCCAAATCTCGAGAAGACTATCGACCTATTGCAAAGCATTCATCGGTGGTCTTCTTTAGTATTGCAGACTTGGCAAACATTGATCTCATGTACCAGTTCTCCTTTAGTTGGTTTGTTAACCTCTTCATCAACTCTATTGATAATAGGTAAATCTAATTTCTCTGATTTGAAAAAATAAGAGAATGAAAACACCTTATGAACAGCAATTCTCTCCATTTTGAAACCATTTACCTCTTGTCTCTCCTGAAATGCAGGCTTTTGAAACAAAATATGATTTGTTAATGAAGTAAATGCTCTTTTTAGTTACTGACTGAGCAAGTCATAAACTGTGCTTTCTTTAAATACTTTTAAGGACGTGACTTAGAGAACAGTGGAATTCTGGTGCTGAGCTTGGCTCCGTTACGAATGCTGAGTGCCACCAAATAACCATGGCAAATTGGTTTCAGCTCATTATTTTGCTTGGGACTTTTTAAAAAGCTGTAGAACACCAAGTATAATTGACATTTTGGGCAAATGGGCATCAAAGTCCCTCATGGAGCATGTGGGTCTAATATAATTCCTCTGTGACCCTAAAAAGATTTAGATTTCTTAACTGATTGCCTAAGTTATTCAATTTGAAGTCTCAGTTTCTCACTTCTTCTCTTTTTAGTAACAAATCAAAAATTTTGAAGAAGCGACTTCAGTATCTAAATGACCACTTCACGTACAATCTGTATTGCAATGTGTGTCGTTCACTGTTTGAAAAGGACAAGCTGCTCTTCTCATTTTTGCTGTGTTGTAATCTTCTCAGGTAAGGCCATTTTTGTGAAGTTTCTTAATAATGGAAACTAATTGCCTTCTTAGCATGGAAGAAGGTATTGATGAGATAGCCTGTTCTTCTGCATATTGATAATAATGCCTTTGGACTAAGGTCATAGATGTTTTAGGTTTTCTAATACTGCTAATATTACAGGTGAAAGAGTATGTGAGTGCATGTATTAATGTATTAACTTGTGTAAGATGAGTAAAGATAATTTCAAAATTACACAATCACAACCATAATGTGGGTATCTTCTTAATTACAATGGGTATGCATCTGTATATGGACCATGCTTCCTGGCCCAATTTGTAAGGCTACTGTATTCCCCAAACCTGTTATTTTCCATAAAGTCTTATATTTCTATAAAATTAGGAATAACTGCACTTTTAAAAAAGAAATAAGCATATTATATGTACCATTTACCTTTTGAAACCCTTACTATAGTCTTAATCAATCATTTTTACTATACATTCTTTTCACTACGTAGAATACTGAGATCTGATCTCAGCTGTTACGGCAGTAGAAGTATTACTAAATGTCAGTGAGGTAATTAATTTTAAACAACTCTTTGTATTCTGTAGAATTGTATCTCAATAACTGAATAACATCTGTCTTTTATTTCTCTTTTTTTTTTTTTTTTGTCAATCCAGGGCTAAAAATGAAATAGAAGATCAAGAGTTTATGTTCTTACTAACAGGGGGTGTGGGTCTCAAGAATAAGTACAAGAATCCAGACCCATCTTGGCTACCAGATAAGAGCTGGGATGAATTCTGTCGTGCAAGTGAAATCCCAGCTTTGAAAGAACTGAGGTACACTAGGATGTTGATTTGAATTATCCTCCATTGTTTTTGACCAAAGCGTATGTAACATGCTGAAATAAATGTTTACCGTCTATTTTTCCAAACCAGTGCCAGAATGCCAACGTGGTAAAACCAACTACTTTTTTCATCGTTAGGTTTGCTTCACTTAATAAGTCAAACAGTCAGATCGCTAACTGTAATATTATTTAATTAATCTATTTTCCTATATTATTTGAGATGTTCCTTAAAGAAATTTTTATTTTAGAATGTCTCCGTGGTAGAGTAACAGTTTTTCAAGGGGGATATTGGTGGCCAAAGAAAGTATATGTAGCAAAATTCCACTGCAGTGGAATTTTTCTGGTGAAATCCAGTGTCCTGAAATCAAGAGAACGTCACCCTGGATTTAAATAGAGTTTAACCCTAAATTCTGGAGCCAGCATGCCTGTACAAGTATTGTGTATTATAAATAGCTGACAGAGCCCAAATATTTGGAGGAAACACTGCTCTGTTAGAAGAAATTGTTGAGTACTGTTTTGTGTTCTCTCCCTTTTGGAGTTTTAGTAGAAACGTGGACAATGCCTTTAAATAACCTGAGAGTTGTTCCATTGCAGAGCACATACTCTGCATATTGTGTGAAATCAAATATTTGTTTTCCTTGGTAGAGTTTCTTGGTCATTTTCTTCTATTAAAGAGTGGAGTTTTCCTGAAGTATGAGAGGCAGAAAATTCACTCTGGCCTATGCAGATCCAAGCAGTGCTGGGTGCAGGAAGAGCAGATCTTACTGTCAACTCAGAACCTTTCAGGTTGAATGTTGTATGCCTGCAACAGTGTGGTGCAAAAAGATTTTTCACTCTCAGCACGGAGAAGCTCAACTGGAGGATTATTTGTACATGTGGAGTGGGGTTTCTATGACAATATCATGTAACTGGCATTTGATAAACAAAAAGCAGAGTCCAGGTATCTAGAGTAATTATAAGTGCTTTTTTTCTTTAGGATGCACATCACTGAAAATATAGGTGAATGGCAAAAAATTTATGATAGCAAAGAGCCACAAAGCTGTCCATTACCGGGACAATTGAATAATACATTAAATGAATTACAAAAGATTATAATACTCCGATGCTTAAGACCAGACAAGGTAAAATGATCTTTTATCAAGTGTTTGCAGGTTATTTGATGTCTTGTGGCATAGTTTGCACTGGCTGTTAAAATAACTAATCTGTTCCTCATCATATTCTTATTTTTCAACTGAGCAAAATGAGCACTGCCACCAACAGCTGAGATTTTTGTCTGACATGTTTTAATGTATCTTTCAGAGTATACTCACTGTTCTAGTTTTCTTCAAGTGTTTGTTCATGTTTAGTCTGTTCGCTGGTGCACCCGGTGTACTTGAGAGCAGGATGTATTAGTCTAGACAGAGTATCTGGTACCATGTGCTTTCATACAAAGGATTTCAAGGCAAAGAGAGATCCGATGTGTTCAACAGCCTAGACAGTTTTAACACTCTCTGCCTTTGGTGCACTTAGCAAATCGTGTTGATATGTACTTTAAGAACAGCAATGTCAGGATTTAAAGTACACACTGCAATTGCATTAATATTTATGAAGCAGGAATGTGCTGGTCCTCCACATCAGTTAAAGCCTGAATTCAAGTCTTAATGTAATTTAACATTGTTTATGTGAAGTATGTTATTTTTTACTTTTTAAAAACATTATAATTCCTAGTGCAAGAGGAAAAAAAGGAGGGGATGGAGGTGTTAACGAGAGGTGGAACCTTCACCTATGTGAAGCATTCTACAAGACTGGTCTCAAATCTGTGCAAATCAGGGATTTGACTAATGTATAGTACATAAAAAATGCTGTTAAATATAAGGTTACATTTAATTTATGTTAATAGTTTGTATTTATTTTTTTTTTACCAGATTGGTCCAGCTGTAACAAAATTTGTAACTGATAAACTAGGGAAGAAATTTGTAGAACCACCACCTTTTGATCTAAGAAAAAGTTATTTAGATTCAAATTCTACAATCCCTTTAATATTTGTGCTATCTCCAGGAGCAGATCCCATGTCTAGTAAGTATAAAGAGAAAGAGAAAACAAAAGCGTAGTACAGCTTTTCAGGCTAGGGACCTGAATTTCCTGTTCCGTACACAATGAGGATTATCTTGCTTTTTGTGCAAGTAGATTTAGTTGCATCGTGTCGCACTGGTAAAATTCTGTGCTCCCTAAAATGAGAATGGTGTTTTAAGCTGATGAGATTTGACACTCTACATCAAAGCTATGCCATCTTGTACGTACATTTTAACAAAATAGAATTTACAAGTAGTAGTAAACAAAATAGTAATAAAATCCTGACATAATTTCAATTTAATGAGGATGTGCTAAAATCTTATGCTTTCTGTTCAAGGCCTCCTGAAATTGGCAAATGACAAAGAGATGGCTGGAGATAAGTTTCAGTCCATCTCATTAGGACAAGGACAAGGACCTATAGCTACAAAAATGATTCAAAAAGGAATGGAAGAAGGCGCTTGGGTTTGTTTGCAGAATTGTCATTTAGCTGACTCCTGGATGCCAATGCTAGAGAAAATATGTGAAGAGTTTAACAACGAAAACTGTCACCCAGACTTCAGACTTTGGCTTACTAGTTATCCTTCACCAAAGGTACATGTATTGCCAAGCGTTCTTTATTTGGGGAATGGAAAAGTTGATGACAATTTTAGGAAATATTAATAGCCCTGAATGAGCTAATAAATTCTCTGAATTTGTCTCTTTGTTAAAGAGACAATCAAGCAAGGATATTTAAAATTAATTATAGACATTGTAGTATTAAGCTCCCTTTGTAAACTTTTGATATTGTGATATGTGATATTCTGTGTACTACTGAATGGAACTGCAGTTAGCCAGTATATATCATTAAAATTTTGCTGTCACTGAGGTTTTGTTTCACTTAAATTCAAAATTTTATTTTTGCATTTTGTTTATAAGATGTTGAATGCCAAGAGAACATTTTAAAATATAGGTTTGTTCTTTGCAGCAAGGTCTTACTTTTTTGATGCCTTCAAGAATTACGTATTTTAAAGTGGTTGATGTTTAAAATGTAAATTCTTGGAGAGAATTGTTTATACAACAAATAGTATAATAATATATTGTTATAACAATACAACATATATCCCACATTTTCCAAATTAATTTTTGCTATTCTTTAATACTAGTTTCCAGTAACCATTCTGCAGAATGGAGTGAAGATGACATATGAACCCCCTACTGGTCTCAGGTTAAACCTACTTCAGTCATTTCTTTCTGATCCTATTTCTGATCCTGCATTCTTCTTGGGATGCCCTGAAAAGGAGCTGGTAATGTGTCTGTCTCTTGACAATTTTATTATTTCTTTTTATTTTACCCGATTTCCATCCTGTGAATATTATAAGCTAAGATTTTTACTATGGTTGAGAGTTTAGATTTTGCAATGAGAAAGATAATTAATTGAGAATTACTCTGCCAGGTAATTTCACTTGACAATATTTAGAATGGTTTCATAAGCTTTATTAAATTGCATGTTATACAATGTATTTAAACTCTAAGCATTCATTGGTAAGGCACACCTGTCATTACTGAGATAGTAAGCACTGAGTTCTTTTCTTGCTGCCAGGGACCAGTACTGCAGTGCCCATGTGTCTTACTGGTAAGTGATGAAGCGCTTAGCCAGTCCTTCCCTGTGATGGAATGAAGAAATGGTGGGATTACTCAGAGCTCTGAGTATGGCAATCAATGTACATAAGTACAAATAGGTGCATCTGAGGACTTAAGGAATACATCTCTCTTTTATGTTTGTCTAATGAGCCTTAAAACTAAATTGTCTGATACTATTTTGATTCCCAATAATTCAGCTTCCCTTTAGGTGGTAGAAGAGAAAAATCTTGTGTAATGGTACTTGAGGAACTAGCTAGATGTGCTAGCATATGTGACTGCTATGTGCATATTTGTTCCCAAGTCAGATAACCATAGCATACTTAATAATTGCCTATGTTTGTAGCCCAGATGGAGAGTGGGAATCAAATGATATGTTCTCTATACAAGTTACAGACTAGCATGAGCATGTGAGCTAGTTAATTATACTTTTTTGTTCTGTTTATCTCAAAGATATGGGAGAAACTACTCTTTGGAGTTTGTTTTTTCCATGCTCTGGTTCAGGAAAGAAGAAAATTTGGGCCTCTTGGTTGGAATATACCCTATGGATTTGATGAATCAGATTTGCGAATCAGTATCAGACAGCTTCAGGTAAAATAATCTGTTGCTACCTTTAACTCTGATAGCATAGCTTATAATCAGAAGGAGCAATATGCTTAAGTTATGTCAAACGTTCACAGATTTTCATTACTTGTTCAGCTACAAAGGCATGGAATATCAATCATACTATAAATATTTTCAAAATTACAAATGAAATAAAACTGGTCTTTGTGAGACTTAAATTCATACAGATGTATGAAATTTAATGAGTATGTATGAGTATAATAAGAGTTAAAATTGGCATATATAAGAGCTCACTGTGCTTTAAGTAGCACCATATCAGCGGCAGTCACCCACTGTGGTGCTTTTTGTGGTTAGTGGGAGGAATTGGGTTTTTTGCATATATACTGTAAGTTAAACAGAGCCTCACTCAGATTATTCTCCTTCCCCAAAACAAAATGCTGAACGCTACTTACCCTTGAGTCTTCTACAGGCCCTGTGTAGAAAAATCAAAAGAACTAGATGGTGAATTACAGAAGCAGAGGCTAAACAAAGGGAAAAGTTATCAACAAGTTAATGAAAGGGATGGGAAGGTTCTGAAGATTGGAAGAAAAATTTTGTGAAATACACATTTCTTTGACAAAGAAAAATGTCCATGTAGAAAGTTCAAACTGGAGAAACTATTCACTTGTAAATAGTTCAGGAATGACTTGGGTGACTTACTGATTTGGATATTCATAAGAGGCTTTTACTACTAACTCCTCTTTATTTGAAACAGTAATTTTTTACCTGAAAGAAAATTTCAGAATTAAGTTTCCAACACTTAGGGAGAAAGCTCCGTAAACTGCAGTTTTGCATGTTTCCAGCCCTTAAGTCTATAGGTCACACTGCTGTTCTGCAGATATTTCAAGTCTCTATAATTACTCATGTCTTCTGTTTCAGTTATTCATAAATGAATATAGCCGTGTTCCTTTTGAAGCTGTAACTTACCTAACTGGGGAGTGCAACTATGGAGGTCGAGTGACAGATGACTGGGACAGACGTTTACTGCTGACTATACTGGATGACTTCTATAATCCAGATATAATTGAAAATCCTCATTACGCTTTTTCTCCCAGCGGCAACTATTATGCTCCACCGAAAGGCACATATGAGGACTACATCGCGTTTATTAAGGTAAAAAGTAGCAACAAGATTTTTGAATGTTATAATGATGATGCACTAAGAAAGCAATCCTTAAATGCTCCTCCTCTGCATTAAAAAGGTAGTTTTGCAGCACATGAAACTGTGTGCTTGGCTTCTTGCCTAACATCCTTGTATGATCCTTGCCATGACCTAGAATGTTTCTGAGAGGGAATCAGTAAACACTTAGGAGGACCCAGTGGAGGTGATAGAGAATTCCTTGGAAATAGCTTTGTGTTAGCAAGGTGATGGCTCTGTCAGCAGTAATACCTACCATTAAGGTCCTTATTCACCTTCATTCAAAGTCAGTGGTAGTTATTCACTCAGCTTCTTAGAGAAGACTTGGATCTAATTCCTAGCATGCTGCTTTATCTCATGCGGATGTTTATTGCTTGTTTTGTCATAGAGTCTTCCCTTTAGTCAGTACCCAGAGGTATTTGGTTTGCACGAAAATGCGGATATTTCAAAAGATCTTCAGCAAACTAAGATCCTCTTCGAATCTCTGCTTTTAACGCAAGGAGGAGGCACTCAGGGAACTTCTGGAGGTGGTGGTAGCACTCCTTATGAAATTGCAGATGATATTCTCAGCAAGGTACTGTATTATATCAATGACTCAAATTTACCTTTTTACAAAGAAGAAATTCTCTGTTTAGAATCTTCAGTGTCCAATTGATTTTGTGTTGGAGAAGAAACCTCCTGGGAGGAATTTAGTACAATATGAAAGTACTAAATAAGGGGGAGACAGAGAGAAAACAGAACAAACACAACTTGGAAGAGCAGTCGATTCATTCGTGTGAACAAGTTTGAAATTAATAGAATTGAAACTCATTAATAATTTTTCACGGTATGAAAAATACTAGGTGGTTTTAACAAGATAAATGTCACTTTAAAAACCCTGTAATTTTTATTTGAGTTAAACTACTAGATGCTGTAGCGATAAGATATTCATTAGAAAGTTTCATGATATATATTAGTCTGCAATTTTTCATATTTGCATACCTTTAATATAATACTGATGCATAATGATAAATTGAATGATTTCAAAATGTGTTGTCATTTACAGCTTCCAAATGATTTTGACATTGAAGGTTGCCTAAGTAGATATCCTGTGAGTTATGAAGAAAGTATGAACACTGTGTTAGTGCAAGAAATGGAAAGATACAACAAGTAAGATTATTATATTTTGTTAAATGTAACCTATATAATTCCATTTGCAGAAAAAGTTTTCCTGCAAATCATACACTTTAAACCCTATGTTGTGTGAAATAGTTTATTTTGTTTGCTTTGAATTGTGTGCAGTGGTGTCTGCAGTCCAAAAACCATTACTCCTTGTGGAAAATCAGAATGTAGAATAGATATTGGGAAAAATGATCTAGTGGCAAAATGAACTGAAAGAGAAAAACAAATGATAGAAGTAGGGACTCTGAGGTGGCCCTTGGAAAAGAGAATGTGAACAATATTTTAACGTTCCCTTTTTTTTTTATTTTTAACTTCACTTTCTCCTTCACCATCTCTGTCTTCAGTTATATTTTATTTTTTTCATATTTCTGATCTGTATTTTAAAGGGGTTACAAAATGTAATGCACGCACAGTTTTAGTTCATGAAACCTTTTCCTGGATAGTTGGAAATATTTCTGCTTATTTCTTCATTGTCTCTTATGCTTTTGATTCTTTTTTCATTTTTTCCCCTTTCCTGATGCCTTTCTTCCTATACCTAATTTTTACAATTATTCACCTAGGATGGCAAAACTCAAGTTTTTATTTTTCTCTTTATTTTTATTTTTCTCTTTGAGTCCTCAGTCTCTCTTTTAATTGTTTTCCGAATTTTCTTTCTTATCTATGCCTACTCCTCCATTCTTTCTTTGCTGTCCTCTTCCTTTTCTATTTGTCTCTTCTCACATCTCCCACTTAATTTTCTCCCAAACTTTCAATAATGGTCTGTGGCCCTCAGTCTTCAAATTTTCTTTAGTTGCAGACTCTACCCACCTCTTCTTTTGTAATCTAAACCTTTTTCCTTCATATGGTGTATACATTTGGGCTTCTAAATTTATCCTCTTACCAAACAATATAGAGTGTATTAGATATAACGGAAACATCTATTGAACTCGTCCTAGTCTTAAATAAATCAGCACAAATGCACAAATCTGTGACTTCACAGATGTGGCTAATTACAGTTATACAGCAGCTATACAAGTTCCATAGATAGTACCATAGCCCAGGCTTTTTCTTTTTCCAGTGAGGAGGATGTGTTTTACAAATTGTGGAAAACCTGTGAAAATTTTGTTTTGTTGTTCAATTCTAGTTTAATCCGAACTATTCGTATTACACTAATTAACCTGAAGAAAGCCATTAAAGGACTGGTTGTTATGGATGCTGAACTGGAGGCTCTGTGTGGCAGCCTACTTATTGGAAAGGTTCCTGAGAACTGGGCGAAACGCTCATACCCAAGTCTGAAACCATTAGGGAGCTATATTCAAGATTTTCTAGAAAGGCTGAAATTTTTACAGGTAATATACAAGGCAGTACTACCAATTATTTAATCTACTTCTTAATATAATTTGCCCTTTATATTACAGGAGTATTGGTAAGAGAGGGGTAGATTCTCATTAGATTTTTCTGAGTACAGTTATGTTAGAAATGGTCAAACAATGGGATTTGTCTCTTTCTGATTATTGAATGTGCAATTTTCTTCTTTCCAGGACTGGTATGAACTGGGGAAGCCCACAGTTTTTTGGCTGTCAGGATTCTATTTTACTCAAGCTTTTTTAACTGGAGCTATGCAAAACTATGCTAGGAAACACAGGATCCCTATTGACCTTCTGGGATATGAATTTCAGGTAGAGATAAATTACAAATGTGTTGTTTATTATTCCAAGTCCTGGTGGCTATGGTGAGATGTAGAAAGTAAATTCTGACTGGAAGGTTCATTTTGTGACTAATTCACTGAGATTTGAAGGCATACATTTAATTCTTTGGTAAGGTATTCATGTTAAATAATATTTGTAAAACATATATTAAAAGTAGTTCTATCATTCAACCTGGAGCTCTACTCAAGAAAACAGCCTATAGAGTACATATTTATCTGTGTGATTTAAGCCTTGTTTTATAACCTACAGTAAAGGTAATTAGCAAACTCCCATAAATCTGCTGTCCTTATAGTTTTGTATAAAAGTAGTACTGAAATAGATGCTATATTATACTCATTTTGGCTTCGTCTTCTGAAATTTGGCTATTGGCATAATACCTTAAAAAGCAAAGAGCTATGAAAGTTTAGTAACATGGGATGCTTATTTCTTGTAGGTTATTCCTCAGGATACTGCTGATACTGCACCAGAAGATGGTGTTTATATCCATGGATTATTTTTAGAGGGAGCTCGCTGGGACAGGATCAAGTCAGTAACAAAATGTTTTACTTTCTGGTTCTGGAAAGCTTTCTTAGATGCTTAAACAAGATTTGTTTGAATATTTTAAGTGATACTTTTCATATTACTGATGTACCACACCAAATGAAATACTCTTTCATGCATGGGAAGTGGGAGTGGGAAACAAACAAAAAACCAAGCAAGCAACAACCAAAAAACACACACCAGAACCTCTTTCATTTAACACCAAGCCACAGATAATTACTTTGCTCCTTTCTCTTTCCAGGGGAATGTTAGCTGAGCAGTATCCTAAATTGCTCTTTGATGTGATGCCAATTATTTGGATAAAGCCAAGTGAGTATAGTTTCTATGAAGTGTGAGTCATTCAACAAGAAATTGCAACAATTAATTACTTTCTTACAGAAGATCAATGCTCTTACCCTCACCAAAGTGACCCAAATTCACGCATAATTTATGTGCGTCTGACCTATGACTTTTATGTTAAAAATTTGGCCTCCTTCATTGACTCAGTCTCGCCTCATCTAAGTAATAGCACTACCTTTCTTCCCTCAAATGTTTATGATTAAGGATAAGACAGAAGGACTAGTTAAGTGCATTTTTAATAAAGATGTTTGGGTGCTGCCCCATATATTTTTTCAACCAAAAGTTCATTTGGGTAGAAAAGCGCGAAGTGCTGGAATCCTGGCTCTGCTCAAGTTGAAGAGAACTTTTAATTGACTTAGAGACTTAGTGTTTTACCTCACATGATTTACCAAGATTTGCTCGGATTATTTTTAGCTGCTGTGCTAGTTGTCTGCCATACTAGTAAGATATTTTCTGTAACTCTTGGGTTTTTTGATCAGGAGCAGTAAATACCTGGTTTTATTTATTCACTTAAGCAGGACTTTCTACTGCAACTGTTGCAACTTAGATGTTCTTAGCTAACAGGCAGTCTTACAAAGTTTCTGCTTTTTCTGCCTGCGCTTTCTCTTGAGGTTGGATGAATCTCTTCAGATGTGCATGATTTTAGTCTTTGCACAAGTTGCAGCTGGTAGAATCATAGTAAGGCATCAAGTCCTGAAAACGAATTGTAGTTAATTTCTCTGGATTTAAAAAGAAAAGAAGCCACACAGAAAACACATTAAAAAGCCAGATAACTTTATTATATTATTCACAAAACAATTTTACATTTTTATTTAACTTCAAGGATATCACTGTAAATACTTAAAATTTATATGTAGATTATGTTTCTAGCAGTAGATCTGCTGAATGTAATGTGTTATTTTCTTTTTGTTTTTTCTAAGCTGCAAAATCAGACATAAAGATATCGAATGCATATGTTTGCCCACTTTACAAGACAGGCGAGCGTAAAGGAGTCTTGTCTACTACTGGACATTCTACTAACTTCGTCACTGCATTGACACTGAACACGGATAAACCAGTTCAACACTGGATCAAGCGAGGTGTTGCGTTGCTCTGTCAGCTGGATGACTGATTTTGGACAGTTACTAGAGGGCACACAAATATTTTCTGATACTCAATATTTTGTCTCCGAGTTTTCAAGTCTTGAGTTTTCAATCTGAATTTATATATAGCCTGTGTTCAGTTTCAGTTCTTTCACTGATTTTACAGGTTTGTTTCTTGAAAAAAAAAGAATAAAATTATTTGGGCATTCTTCCTTGATCTCCTCTAGCAAAGAACTAGTTCTGTCTTGCATTCAGACACGACTATCATCATTAGTTTGTAAGGAACCCTCTGTAAAATACGTCAGGAGTAAATGAAGCACATGGAAGTCTCACTACTTCATCATACTGTTATAACCAGACATCTTTGTCCTTCATTTCTCTGCTTATTGTGTTGTGACAGAGAGAGATTTCACTACAAAGTTCAAACTAACAATCTAGTTGAACTTCACTCACAGGTCCAATATGTCACAAGTTTTATGGATACGGTGGAAGAATGCACTATTGCAATTTAAAAAGCAATATGCAAGATACACTTTTGCAAAACTAAGTGATTCCTGGAAATTTACTAGTACAGATTTTGAAAGCAAGCTCGATAGTAACAATATCCATCTTAAAGCATGCCGAAATACCACACTTGTGTCTCAGTCACTTACCCTCTCTCAGGTAAGGGTTCTCAATCTCGGGGGAAATATCTTCATCCAACATCTTGAATAAGGGGGGGAAGAATCTCCTACAGTCCAGCTGTATTGTTGTAAAAACTTCTCGAAATTCTACTCAAAATCTTACAGTTTTTATCCTGTAAGGATGGGATGGGGGTGGAGGGGAGGCAGAGGTGTGCCTGAGCAGACCGCAAGATCTAGAATGTTTGTCTTTGGTAGTGTGATGAGATTTCCCCTTATCTTTCTTGGGTGCGCCCTACTAATTTTATTAATTTCGTGTTGGTTAGCACACAAATGATTTACTCAGCCAAATTAATGTATCTTTCACATAAATTATTTGGCCAAATTTAACATATAGAATAGAATAGAAAATGGTTGAAAATGAGACTGAGGGCAAAATGTTTGTTAGTTGGGTTTTGGTTCCATTCAGGTTTCAGTCCTTTGTCTATTGTTTCATTTTCACCCAGCTCAGGGCTGGCTCATTTTTCACAGCCCTCCTTGGGTCATCACAGTGAAGGGTCTGTCACGGCAAGACAGAGCTGAGGTGAATTAACACCTCTTTATGTCTCACCTTTGTTCACCGAAACCTGGTCTGCTGGTATCTGCACGTGTGTTACACCAGCATAAGCTTTCAGCATAGATCTGTCTGTGCTTTTCCCTTGAAAGGCCCTATATGTTTATCTTTTGTTTACTTTTCTTTTTGTATTTATATGTGAATTGGGATTAAGCAATCAGAAATGCAGAGTAATGTTAGTATAGTTCTTTATTTTATTTGCTTGTTTATGTTTACTTTTCATGTTTTTAAGTTTTCTTTTTACTCTGTCCTACTATTTTAAGTAAGCTCCTAACAGGTTCTTCAGTTTACTCTTAGGAAAGCACTAACCAATTTTCTTTCCACAATGTAGTTACTCCTTCCAACTCACAAATTCTTGTTTGTTTAGCAAGAGTATTCTTGCAAAGAAAGTGGACTTTTAATTCCTTCTTTTGCTGACACCATTTGTCAGCTCAAATTATTGAACATAACTAAACTAAAGAAACATGGAGGAAGTTCCAGAGTATCTTATGATTGGGTATTTATAGTAAGCTATTAATGGACACAGACTCTACTGAGATCGTTTTCAATCCTGAAAATATCACTTTCAACTTAATCAAGTCTTCAGAGTGTAAGGACTTCACTCTTTCAGAAGGTGAGGAAAAACAATTTATTTTCTTAATTCACAGGAAAATCAGCAGTCTTTTTACAAAAAAAGAAATATTCTAGATTACACTCATTGTATACAATAAGTATAATTGAATATTAATAGCTACTAGTCTGTATATTTTGTCAATGTATTTATCTTTTTTGCTACATGTGCAATTTCAGAGTAAGCCCTTGCAATCACATGTTAGGTGGATCGGGTAAAGAACTAAATTATGCAAGTTTACTATGAGTTACTGCTGCTCAAATTTAAGAGGATTCTAGAATGATTCCAATCTTTGTAAGTTGCATGTTGACAACTTCCCTCATTTTGCTCTGCTCATTCATTTTGCTAATTTATTTATTTGCTTTCAGGTTTACTTGTTCATTTTACTTTTCTTTGCCTCATATATTTGGTTGGTTTTTTCAGGCCAACTCTCTTGAAAGACCTAAGTGGAACTTTCGATAAAGTTAAACTCATGAGAGGTTTGAGACTAATGGAACATCTGCGATTGTAATCTATAATAGCATGTAGATTACTATACAAAAGAGCAATGTAATTGTTTATGCATATAACAGTGTACATCTACATACATCCAATTTAATAATTGATTTGATAATTTTTTATGATTTCTTCTTAAGTTTTAACATTTAGTCTTAGTGGTGTCACTAGCATTTATTTTTGTGCTGATGTCACTAGGATTTATTTTTGTGCTCTATTTTTGCATTACAATTATAAAGGTAAAAATATTTTCACTGAATGCTCGACTCAATTGTGCTTACACTAGTGTTTGTTATTTCTGCCTGTATTTGGCTATATTGTTGCAGTGTTTTATAGCTATCCCATACAAGTATTAGAAAAAACAGGCATGCATTGATAAAGAATGCAGAGTTGTAAGTTTATCTGTTCTAAATGGCTGCAGAATATATACATAAGGTGGTAAAGTTGGTCTTTTTTTCAAGCATGGAGTTTATTGTTGTTTCAGTTGGAAGGTTGATGCACGCCATAGCACAGATCTGCAATACTCTCCTGACTATGAGATACAGTCCTAACGATGTCTTTGTTAAAACAGTTTTAACAAAACTGTTATTTCATGTCCTTCACTTGCCTTTCACTTCCCTCTGAGTACAAACTGGAAAAACATAGCAAAGTCTTATCGCACCTCTGTTTTCCTGCTAAGGAAACCTCACAGCACAATTGTGGTCATATTTGAATGTCGAACAACTTAAGAACGAATGACTATTGGAAAACTAAGTTTTACCTATTTTTGTTGCTTTCTAGTAAGTAATGCCAGAATAAGTAGCTATTCCTATGTTCAGTCTGTGGAACAATGATAAAAGGTAGCACGTGCTATTGCAGTAGAAAACCTTTAGTCTGTTCTAAATAGAGTAACTCTTTGCAGGACAAACATGCTTGGGAGAAAACTGGAGCTTGAAATGGAGAAGTTCTGCTTCATTTATTTTCAACTATGTTTCATTTATCTTGATACTTAGTGATTGCCTTTTCTGTTACTACAGATTTAATCTGAAGATTTAATATCTGCTTCCACTTAGAAAGCAGCTGTTTCCTAACAAAAAGTGATCTGAGTTGTGCTGATTTGTCATGTATAATTCTTCATACATGTTTGATAATGATTCTGAAGATGAAATTCCTACCCAACAAGCTATTCAGGAAAGCTTACAAGAGAGGCATAAAATTGAAACAAGTGGCAGTGTAACAAAGGATGAAAGGTAATAAGTTATTACTTCTGTTTTGGCTGTTTTCTTGGCATTATTATAAGCACATAGTAACCTTATTTTCCTTTGCGACTCAGTGTGTTGTATTCCTCTGACCTTGCCTCATGGATACTGAAAACCACTGGTAGCTTACTATGTTTGTGTTCTTCCACAAAAAGTGTAACTATGCCCTTGAAAATGTGGAATGTATGAAACTTTCAGGTCACATTTTACATCAATATCTAAATCAATACAAGGCTTTATGAAGAAGATAAATGTGTGATGTAAAACCAGACTGCTATGGTAGCTTTCACTCATTTTAGTGTTTAATTGTTGGCCTTTGTGTGAAAAATCCAGTATTTATAGTGACGGGGGAAACCAACAAAAGAAGTGTTTTAATGTTAAACCTTTACAAAACCTATGTAATTTACATAAATCTAACATGTAGTCTAGAGTAGAGTGTTTAAATTAAGGTATAATTGTATCCTGAACTTCACATTAATTTTTACTTCTCACTTTATTTTTGTTCTGTTTATGCAGTTTCCAGTATATTACAAGCAAAGAACATGGAAAGATAATTGCAGCAATTCGGACAGTTAAGTACAAATACACCACCCTAAGCCTATACCACTAGAAATCACTCTATTCTTGCATCACTGAGCAATGCCTGGCTTTTAGGTGTTTAATAACTCAATTTAAGTGCAGTTTTTCTTTATTTGTTTGGGAAGAGTAAGACAACTAAAAATGGGACACCCAAAAGCTAACTCAATAGATAGGCATATTGTAATGGAGAGGGTTCAAATCTCTCTGCTCTCAGAGATTCCAGTGCTTCATCTCCTGAAATTAGGGGGAAATGCCAGGTCTTTCTTGTAAAATAAGCAGCAGAATGGCAAGGCCCCTAGTCAATTAATACTTCGTAAAACCATTTACCAGTTTGTGAAATACACAGATTAAAATCCTTTATTTACCTGAAAAGTGTTCCAGAATTATTCCTTAACTGCCAGACTTCAGGGTATTCCAATGAGAGATGTTCTTACTCTAATCCTCTGAAAGTTCTACTTTTTGTGGTATGATCAATTTACGTACTGAGTCACAGAGAGAACTAAACAATGAGCGTATGTAGTTCAATGGTTTGGACAGTTGTCTGGCAGTGGGAAACCTTAAGTCCAGTCCTTACATGTGTCATCGTAGTTGCAGAGATATTTACTGGAGTAGGAATCAAGAAACGTCCAGTTACACTCGCTGTCTGGCCTTATGAACATATAGTTCTCCTGTACGTAGAAGAACATCAGGAGCAGAGACTGAGAGTGGTATGTCCCCTCACCCTCTAATAGTCACTGTCAGGACAGACTGCCTTCCCCCAGGAACGATGGAATGACAACTGAGCAGAAACCAGGCCTCTACTTAAACATGGTTTTCAGTCAAGAAAGTTGTTCTTTCTTGATGAGATACAAAATTAAAAATGTAATCACTTGTA